AGAGAGAGCGAGAGAGAGAGAGAGAGAGAGAGAGAGAGAGAGAGAGAGTGGCAATGTTGCCAAGGAATTGGTAAGTTGCTCACAGTAGTACAGAGATAATTTGTATTTATATTTCCCAGAATTACTCATCAAATAAACTTCAAAAAGATTTTATGGATGTTTCCATGTGTGCTTGGATGAACAAATGTGGAAAGCAAGGAATTAAAAACAGTGTACAATATCAGAAAACAAAACCCAACAGAACAAATATCTGCAAAATCATTGCCACACACACCCTGGACAATGTGATCTTTCATCACAACATGCAATAGAAAAGAAAGAAAACAGAGGTGGAAGAGAGAGACTAAGAGCTTACCAACTTCATCATTAGGCTGATCGAGTACTGCTCTGCAAATGGTGAAGAAGGACTGATGAGGCAAGAAAATGAGAGAAGCTGCTAAAAAGAGAAGGAAGAAGTTGGAGCACATCATGTGGTCTTTTGGGGTCTCTAGGTTTGGTGGAGTTTTGGTGATGGAGTTTGAAATGGCATTTCAGAATGAGTAAAGAAGAGTTATTTTATAGAGAGAGAGAGAGAGAGAGAGAGAGAGAGAGAGAGAGAGAGAATGCATTTTGGTCTTGCAAACCAGAGGAGTATTGTGTCTTTTCCTTAACCCCACGCTCTAACGAGCATGGTAACGGTTTTCTTGGCTTTGGTCTCTGGCTTTCCACCTGCTGGTAATGATGTAACGGTAAGTTGGTAAATATCACAATAGTTACCATTGGTGCGTTTACAGTTTACTAGTAAGCAGCTCAATCACAATGGGGTTGGTTTTGTAATAAGAAATGAAAGGGGGTCATTTTCACTTTACTACGATAAAGTTTACCGATTTTTAGAGTTCGATACATCAAATTTTTTTGGTCCCAGTCGCATACATAATGTTTATTTTCATACCAATTTATTACGTCCGTTAGTGCTTTCGTCAATGCCTCTGTTAAAACATCGGCATGACAACCAATGAGTCTACATAGACACATGTATTATGCCACGTGGACTAGAAATTTTTTAAAATAATTAATTACAAATTTAACATCAAATATATAATATAAATTTTTTTTTTAAAGTAACATAAAACCTCCCCATGCCCAAAAATTGAAAACAAAATACCATTATCTTTAAAATCAAATATATATTAAAGTAAAACAAACAAGAATGATGAAACCAAGCCCAAAAAAGGCCCACCCCTAGCTCAGCGTCCCCGACCACCATCCCAATGTTGAGAACTGAACTCTATAAAGCTATCTAGGAACAAGAAAGTTCGTGGAAAAATTGCACACATCATTCAGAGACTCAAAAGATCTGTTTAAATAGAGCTAACAAGAAACAAACTAACATGAAAAAACAAAAAACAAAAAAAAAGGAAACATAGTCCCTCGTTTAACAACTCCTAGACTAGTGGGATTCCCCAAAGAAATAGGTCAACCAACAATCAAGTACCTAAACAATAGGGATTATTGAAACCAGAAAATCCTAAAATTCCCTCCCTTAAACTGAATGCTATTCAAGCATTCAATTTACAGAAGATCTTGAATAAACTTCAAGTAACTCTCGTAACTTCACAAAGGCATCTATCTTGAGTGCTTTGGTTAAAATGTTTGCAACTTGATCCTCACTTCGACAATAGACAAGCTCAACAACTTCCTTGGTAAGATCTCGAAGAAAGTGAAACCTCACATCAATATGTTTGCTCCTTCCATGGAGCACTGGATTTTGGATAGTTTAATAGTCGAACTATTATCACAAAAAATATGTGTAGGACCTTGCTGACAGTATTGTAACTCTTCAAGAATTCTTCTCAACCAAACATCCTGACATGCACAAGATGTAGTAGCTATGAACTCAGCTTCTGTTGTAGACAAAGAGACAACCTGCTATTTCTTTGAAGACCATGAAATAGCTTCTGAACTCCACATAAAAACATGACTTGATGTGCTCTTCCTGTCTTTTAAATCTCTAGCATAATCACTATCACTAAACCCAATCAAATCTGAATTTTCACTCCTTTTATAGAACAAGCCAAAATCAGTTTGTACCTTGCAAGTAACAAAGTACCCTCTTTGTAGTAGCAAAATGAAGTTAACTTGGTCTTTCCATAAACCTGCTAAGGAGACTCACAACATACATTATATCTGGTCGAGTAGCTAACAAATACATTAAACTTCCAATGATTTGTTTATAAAAAGTATTGTCAACCCTATTTCCTTCAAGATCACTTGTGAGCTTTTCTCCTGGTATAATTGGATTCTTGACTGGATTGCAACCCACCATTCAAAATCTTTCAAGAATCTATTGCACATACTTCTTTTGTCCAATAAAATTTCCAGCAAAAGATTGCACCACTTCAATACCAAGAAAGTAGCGCATCTTTCCTAGATCAGTCATATCAAATTCATCCATCGTAGTTTTTTTAAACTCAGCAAACATAGTTTCATCATTTCCAGTAAAGATCAAATCATCTACATACAAGCAAACAATCAAAATTTTACCTCCTCTAGATTTGATAAATGTAGTGTGTTCATAGGGACACTTGTGAAAGCCCACCTTTGTGAAGTATGCATCTATACGACTGTACCAAGCCCGGGGTGCTTGTTTCAGTCCATATAGAGCCTTTTTCAACTTGTAAACCTTACTCTCATTTCCCTTTTGTACCTAACCCAGGGGCTGATCAACAAAAATTTGTCCTTTTAGGTCACTATGTAGGAAGGCTGACTTTACATCAAGTTGAAAATTGGGCCAAGCCTTCCGTGCTGCCAAAGACACAACCAAACGAATGGTGTCGTGCCTTGTGTTGTGAATTTTAGACAACCTGCAAAATGAAGATTATAAAGATTAGTCTAAAGACAAACTAATTATACTCGCAAGTGCACAAGGTCAATTGTAATTTAGTATGGCAAATACGAGGTCAGTCCCACGAGGATTGAGTTCAACTTCCAATTAGTCTAACCTAATTTACTTCACAAAATACTTTACCTACTCTAATTATATTAATAAGAAATTAAACACGTAGCATACTCACGTAAACAAGTAGAAAGTCACGAAACAAAAATAAGAGAAGTTCAAATTGATAAAATCACTAGGACAATTAATTCACCACTAGTAATCCGATCTAGCCTCTTATTCACCTACATATTAACTAACCATTTGATGTTGCCGCTTAGTTTTCCTTTTTCATGAATTACCTATGGTATTTCGGCTAACTCGTATATTCCTACATGCAATTCACCTATCGTATTTAAATCAAATATCAACACATAGAAAATCATTAAGATCAGTGAAAACCTCCAACAAGCATGTAAACCCTAGGAGTATGGTATTTATCCTCGACGAATTACAAATCTTAATCACAAGAAGTAAGCCTCAAATTATGTATGGTATTACTCTAATTTACATAAGATTAACTCAATTAAAAGTCTAGATGGTGATCAAGCATCAAGATAATCAACCAAGTTATTAAGCACAGTGATTAAGAATCCAACATCAAATGGTAGTCAACAGATAGGTAAAATAAGAAAACTAGATTATCATCATGCCCTAATAAAAGAAAATTAGTTACACATAATCATAGAATTCGGCATAAGCAAAAACATAAGGAAGAAACAATAAAAGTTAGCCACTTGCGGTACTCTTCCGTGTCTCCAATTTCTCCAAGTCTTTTCGTCCCCAAAGGAGTTGTTTCTCATGCTTAAATAAAACACCACACGTTTATTCCTACCCTAGCTGGGCTTTTAAAACATAAATCCAAAATGAGTAAACAATTGACTCCTCTTCCTACTTTGACTGGGATCACATGTTAGTTAATTTGCAAGCACGTTTTGGGTCGTTCCTTCTGTAAATTTTAGATCTTTGTCTTATTGTTCTAACCATATATTGCACGCCTTGAGGAAAAATCGGGAAGACCTTCAAATTTCCTTTTTCACACAATAACTCAAATCTAACGAGATTGCACCTTGTGCTGACTTAACTTCAATGACTACTCTTGTTTGTACCACATCTGACCCCCCACTCACGTCATGACACGTGAAATGCAAACCTGTCATACCAGCTTGATGAGTCATGCTGAAGGATTGATCAGCACACTCTACCGATTCTTACGAGGTCAAACCGGTAAGAGTGCCTACAACCTGCACCCCCGCAAACCTTCGGTAGCGTATGCCGAGGGACCAGTCAACACACTCGACCGATTCTAACAGATCACCTTGGAACTCCTGCTAGAACTTGTCAGGGCACGTGTCGACCGTCGAAGACACTCTCACGAGTCCCACATCGAAATTGAGTACTAAGAGCATCACCAAAGCTCTCTATAAATAGAGCCCCTTGGCCCAGCCAAGAGGAGAGACTGTTTACTTGACTTGTACTTTCACACTGTCAATAGAATTGCTCTTAGTCACTAACTTTGGCATCGGAGGATCTTCAGCCGACACCACACCGATGCCTTAGGCTTCACATGCTGTTTCTTTCTCCAAGCCGAATTCAGTGTTGCACCTTGAGGGAAGACACCACGGACCGAAGGCTTCTCAGGTACAAACCTTCCACGTCACTTGTAAGTTAGCCTTATTTCTATTTGTTTAGATTTAATGCGAACAGCTCTCATTGGTTGCTCTGAGAATTTTAGAAAAATTCCATGATCATCTTCAAGATCTTAGCTTTCATCTCCAACTGATCTTGTACAAAAACTCCACCAAAAAGTTGTATTTCCTTTTTAATCAAATTCTCCCACAAAAACTAAGTACAAAGAGTACATAAATGTGTAAATTTATGGACTTATCACCTTGCTATAGGAGCAAAGACCTCTTGATAGTCAACCCCATACTCTTGCTTGTATCCTATAGCCACTAGTCGTGCTTTATATTTATCAAACTCTCCCTTCTCATTTAGCTTTGTTTTATAGACCCATTTAACACCAATGCTCTTCTATCCTTGTAGAAGATCAATCAACTCCCAAGTGTCATTTCTCTTAATGGAATCAATCTCTGCATCCATGGCAGTCCTCCATTTTCATTCTTGACTGCATTACCAAAAGTTTTTGGATTGCATTATGCAAACAAAGCATAGTACATAGTTGTATTGTCATTTGACAATTCATCTCCACTTACATAGTCTATCATCCATGTTGGTTCTTTTCTTGGACGTGGCTCTTCCAGATTTGGTGGTTGATTTTCAGTTTGATCATCCACGGAAGCATCTGGCAAAGAGTCACCATGGGATTGCAATTGTCGATGAATCCTGCTTTCATCACCTTCATTCAAATCCACTGAAATTGACATCTTTTCCTTACTATTCCAATCCCAAGTTTTTTCCTCATCAAACAAGACATCACGACTAATAATTACCTTATGAGTAATAGGACCGTATAACTTGTACGCCTTGGATTCCTCATTAACCCCAATAAAAACACATTTGACTCCTTTGTCATCAAGCTTGCTTATCTTTTTATCAGGTATGTGTGCATATCTTATGCATCCAAATATTCTGAAATGATCAACTGCTAGTTTATGCTCACCCCAAGCCTCCTATGGCGTCATATTCTTTACAGCAACTGTAGGACTTCTGTTTAGCACATGCACACTTCAATTGACTACTTCTAGCCAAAATTTCTTCGGAATACTTTTTTTTGCCAGCACACTTCTTACCATGTTCATGATTGTATGATTCTTCCTCTCTACTGCACCATTTTTTTGTGGTGTGTAAGGTGTGGTAAGATGTCTTTGAATTCCTTTCATCTCACAAAAGCTAGTAAATTCATGTGAGTTGAATTCTCCACATCGGTCTGTACGAAAAGCCTTAATAGATTTGCCAGATTCTTTTTCAACTCGAGCATAAAATCTTTTGAACATACCAAGAGCCTCAGATTTTTCTGCCAATAAACCCAAGACTTTCGACTATAATCATCAATAAAAGTAATAAAGTACCTTTTATTACTATTTGATGTTGGATTGATTGGCCCACAAATATTTGAGTGTACCACTTGAAGTATTTGAGTAGCTCTCCATGTGCCTCTTTTAGGAAAAGCATCATGATGTTGTTTTCCAAGAATACATTCTTCACAGATTTCCGAAGGAGATTGAATTTGAGGAAGGCACGTTACCATATTTTTCTGCTGCAAGGTCTTCAATCTAGTGAAATTCAAGTGCCCATATCGATAGTGCCATATCCATGTTGAGTTTTGCACCATCGAGGAGAAGCATGTTTGATTACCATGTTGAGTTTGAGTGTGCAAAGGAAACATTCGATTTGCTGCCATGTTGACTTGTGCAATTAGACCATTCTCTAGATGTTTAATTTGATAACAGCTTTTTTGAATGAGTATGACATACCCTTTTTTTTATAGTTGCCCCAAGCTAATCAAATTGCTAATTAATTCTGGGACATAAAACACACTCGAGATTGTATGCACACTATTGTTCATATGAATCTTAATGTTCTCTTTTCTCATGATAGAGATGCTAACGTTATTACCAAGTTTCATCTAAGTAAGAGAATAGAGATTTGTTGCCACTCATGTGATTGCTACAACTAGAGTCAAGGTACCATGTGTTTGGATGAGACTCCTTGTTGTCAATGTATGCCATCAAAAGAATCTCTTCCTCTGTCTCTGCAAAATTCACTTGCTTTGCTTTCTCCTTCTATGGGCATTCATACTGGAAATGACCAAACTTGTGACAATGATAACATTGGATGTTGGTCTTGTCAAAGTTGTACGATGACTGACTATGTCGACCACGTCCTTTGCCTCTTCCTCGACCACCATGACTTCTTCCAGATCATCTTACTGTGGATGGTTCTCCATAAGTGGTGACCTTCAAGGCTTGTTCCTTCACAATGTGGCTTGACATTCGCTGCTCATGTACTAGCAAGGAACTTTGTAGTTCATCAATGAACATCACATCAATATCATGTGCTTCCTCAATGAAGCAGACCACATAGTCGAATTTTGTAGTCATTGAGCGGAGAATTTTTTTGACTATTGTGACATCTCTCATTTTCTCCCCATGGACATGCATCTTGTTTGCTAGCCAAAGTCCTTGAGAAATAATCTATGACTGATTTTTTTGCCTTCATATGGAGGGTCTCAAACTCTTTGCGAAGAGCTTGAAGTTGCGCACATTTCACCTTTGCTGTGCGTTGAAACTTTTTCTTCATGGAATCCTAAATATGCTTTGAGGTGTCTTTTTCAAAAATAGTCTCCAGGATTGCACGATCAATTTCCTAGAATAGATAATTCTTTATCTTGAGATCCTTTAGTTTTTGGTTCTCCATTGTCTAATGTTGTGCTTCTATCAAAATTGTTCATGTTGGTGATTCTTCAATGCCATTTTCAAGGAGACTCCAATACTTTTTGGATCTCAAAAATTTTCCATCAACATACTCCAATGGTCATAGTGACCATTAAAGCGAGGAATTGCAGGTTGCCTGTAATTGCTGTCGGAGGCCATTGACTATTGTTGTTGCAAATAAGAAAGTTGTTGCTTCTTTCTTCACCAAACTCCATTAGGGGGCTCTGATACCAACTGTTGAGAACTGAACTCTATAAAGCTATCTGGGAACAAGAAAGTTTGTGGAAAAATTTCACATATTATTCAGAGACTCAAAAGGTATGTTTAAATAGAGCTAACAAGATACAAACTAACAGAAAAAGGAAACACAGTCCCACATTTAACAACTTCTAGACTAGTGTGATTCCCCAAAGAAATAGGTCAACCAACAATCAAGTATCTAAACAATCGGGATTATTGAAATTGGAAAATCCTAACACCCAACCTTCCCCACCCCAATCGTAGTTTCTTATGGTGTCGCGTTGCTTGATGCAAATTTCGCGTCGTCTGGTTGCCTTGTCGACAGCATCTGTGGTGATGGCAATGTGGCCGATCTAGTTAGACTCATAAGAATTGGAGTGGAGAAGCAAGCTTCACGAACGCTGACTTAGGCGGTGGTGTAGAGGAAACAGGAGACTTGTTAGTTGGAGGGGTCTTGGAGCTCGACCTTGCGGAAGAATGAGGCCTTGATGTAGCGGCTGGATCCACATATCTGAATCTCCCCATCTCTTTCTCTCTCCCCATTGTTAAGAACACATCTGAATCTGGGGTTGTTTTTATTGGGTAGTGCTGAGATTTGAATTGGGTTGGCTTGAAATTGAAATTGAAAGAATGAGTTCTAGGAAGAGGGTTGGGTTTGGGTTTAGGCTTTTGTTGGAGTGGGGGAGGTTAGGATGGGGGATGAGGGAGGATGATACGAGGATTAAGGCGTTTTTCGGGCTTGGTTTCTGTAACATCCCAATCGACTAACGGAGATGAGGTGATGTGCCTTATATGTATATGCCCGCCTCTATCTAGCATGAGGTCTTTTGGGAGCTCATTGGCTTTGGATTCCATGGGAACTTTGAAGTTAAGCGAGTTTGGGCTAAAGCAATCCCAAGATGGGTGGCCCATTGGGAAGTTGCTCACGAGTTCCCAGAAACAAAACTGTGAGGGTGGGGGCCTAAAGCAGACAATATCGTGCTATGGCGGAGCCGATCCCGGGATGTGACAATTCGGTGTCAAAGCCACTTTGCCTTATGGTGCGAGTGTGCCGATGAGAACGTCAGGCCCTTAAGGGGGGTGGATTGTAACATCCCATGTCGACCAATGGAGATGGGGTGATGTGCCTTATATGTACATGCTTGCCTCCATCTAGCATGAGGCTTTTTGAGAGCTTATTAGCTTCAAATTCCATAGGAACTCCGAAGTTAAGCGAGTTTGGGCTAGAGCAATCCCAAGATGGGTGACCCATTAGGAAGTTGCTCGTGAGTTCCCAGAAAAAAAAATCGTGAGGGCTAGGGCCCAAAGCAGACAATATCGTGCTATGACGGAGCCAATCCCGGGATGTGACAGTTTCATTGTTCTTGTTTTTGTTTTTATTTTTTTTACTTTTTGTTTTTTTATTCTTTAATATGTATATATTTTTAAGATTATTTAATATGTATTTGATTTTAAAGAGAGAGAATGTTTTGTTTTAAAATTTAGGGCGTTGGGGAGGTGTTATGTTGTTATGCCATTTTTATGTTATTTTATTAGTTTATATATTTGTTGTTAAGGTTTTTTTTTGTGCATGGAGATGGATTTGTATTTAATTTTTTCAAGTTTTTTTTTCCTTTTTTAATTAATTAATAATATTATTTTATTTATTTAATCTGGGGCCACCTGGGTCACAGTACTGCCACGTCAGCTTTTAACGGAAGTCCTGACAAGATGACTGACGAACTTATTAAATTGGTATGAAAATAAACATTATGTATGCAACTTAGACGAAAAACATTTGATGTATCGAACTCTAAAAGTCGGTAAATTTTACCGTAGTAAAGTGAAAATTACCCAAAAGAATATGTGTAAGAATAATGAGATGAAAATATAGAGTGAGAAGAAAAGCAATAATTGTATTCATGAATTAGGCACAAAATCAGCCACAAGGGCAAATGCAAATGCCCACGAAGGGGTAATACAAATATAAAAGCATAGTAACCACATAGGGTTAATCCAAATATAGGCCACAAAAGGCTAGAGAAATTTTGGGATAAAAGCCGCATGCCTGAACAAACCAGACATGAATCACAACGCCCAAATCTACTAATACAACTACAACTTTTAACTTTCACAAGTACAAAATACAAGTAGAGACTAAAAACCAATCAAACACCCAACTCACAAGGGATTGATGCAATTATTACAAAATAAGAAAACTGTAAACAAACAACCAAAAACCAACAGAGCTACTACCGTCGTTGTTGTCACCGCCACCACAGACGTCGTCGTTGTTTGAACAAATTTCCTCTGGGGAGAATATTCTCTGATGATCCTCTTCACACTTGATCTTCTTCTTCCTTGATCCTTGGAAAATAGATGCGGTCTACGGAGCACACCCAGGGGGTGTTAGCCAGATGCCTTCCAATGTCTAAGTCAGTTAAACAGTCTTAAGAAGATACAACTTTAACTGAAAGGATGGAGCTTTCTTTTCGAGAAGAGAGATATGGGGTGGTCGAAGCCGTGAGAGAGAGAGAGAGAGAGAGAGAGAGAGAGAGAGAGAGAGAGAGAGTTTCTCAAGGGTTTTGGAATTACCTCATGTGTGGTGAGATGCCATCTATTTATAGAATCTCCTTATTGGCTAGGGTTTGTAGAGAATAATTTCTATATGAAAAGGAATTATTATTATCTTTAAATGACACAATAATATCAAGGAGATTTGTTGGAAATCGGATCCTTGATTTAGGGAGATATTCCTATCGTAAATCAAGGATAATTGGCTAATTAAATTGGATTTAATTAGCACAATCATTTGACCAAAGGAATATTCCTCTCTCCACGTGTCACCTTGTGATTGATTAGTATGACATGTAAGAGATGTGAAATTCTTGTTGGGCTTTCCAAACTCCCAAATGCAGCTAGGCTCCCTTTGAGAGTTGGGCTCCTGACTATAGGAAGCTTTTGAAATTCCTTCATCGAGTTAGGCTCCTAATTGGTGAAGCCTTTTGTGATTCCTTCTTGACTAAGGATGCCCAACCATTATAAATACTTTGCTTCTCCTCATAACTTTTCATCTTGCAATTTTATCTTATTATACTTTCTAACTTGCGGCAAAGAGAAGGATGTTGGAGGAGACAATTGTGCATCGAGAAGGGAAGCTGCTGTGCTCGCCAAGGTAGGTCACGATTTTGTTTTGTTTTGTTTTTTCTTCTCAGTGAAGACCAACTGGCCAGTTCGGCCGAACCTTACGAGCAAGAGATGTGTCCTCCTTGAGGAAGAAGTGTAGACTTCCTTCTGTTGTGATCAAGTCCTCCTCGAAAAAAATCTCGTATGCTGAGAAGACCAAGGTAGGAACTACTTATTCGTTGTCTGCTTAGAACTAGTGATCTGCCTTGCAAAGACATCCGCACAAAACCTAGCTTGTCTGCCTAGAAGCAAAGAGCTACTGACTTTCCTTACAGAAGTTTGAGTCGTCTACATCTGTCAAAGGATGAGGATCGAACTGGGAAGGCTGCTTCTTTCCTTAGCAAGCTCACGCCACCTGCCGAGTTACGAGAAGTCAAGTGTGGAGTTGGTCCAAAGTTGATGGCTTTCTTCGAGGGGAGAATGCCTGCAGTTTGAAAGGCCAAAGATTCGTTTGTTCAGGAGAAAGGTTCAACAAGTGCTCGAGCTGATGGCCCAATGGGTGACAAGCCTGGCTCTGTAAGGGACGCATGCGTGTCTTATCTGCTGAAGATGAACTTCATGTTATATCGTCTGCTTGTGTCGGATTGGTTGATCATTTACGTCAAGTCGACGATCTTGGCACATTTCCAAACCTTTCTCCGAAGAAACAAAAGGATGAGACTTTTGCTTTACTTCAAAAAAGAGTGATTTTTGTTGTGGAGGCTATCTGAAGCTTGTCTATGTTACCCCCCTTCTTCTTAGCTTGAAAGGTTGGATAAGAAGAATACTGCTCTAACTGACCTGCTATCAACTGAGCAGAAGCAGAAAGAGATGAAAATTTCATATTTGAAGAGAAATATGTCCTTGCTGAAGAGTTCCCTTGCTATGAAGGATTGTGAACTCGATTCCTCTGCTGCTGCCTTGAATGAATGAAAAGAGGCCTACTCCTGACTCAAGCATGAGTTTGTTGACTTGTCCCAAAGCTATGATAAGCTACTAACCAAGTTCAACGCTTACCAAAACACCACCCACGAATCCAAGTTCGAAGCCATTATTGATGCTTACAAGCTGGGCTACTCAGATTACAAGAGAGCCTATCTCCTATCACTTCATTGACGATGAAGATGTTGAAATGTTCTACTCAGAGATGCCCCTTGTTGAAGATAAGTAGTTTATTGTTGCGGACATGGAGGCAGTTGAAGAGCAAGTAGTTGATGAGATTGTGGCTGATGAGCTTGAAGTCGAGGAGGATGAAGCCAATGAGGGTGCATCTGATGAGGCGAAGGCTGATACTGTGGAGTGGGTAGCCAAAGCTAATGAGTAGGTGGCTGGCTTTGATGAGCATGTGGCTGCAGCTGACAAGACTAGAGCTGAGGAAGTTGTTGACTAAGAGTCAAGTGTTGAAGTCTTGTAATAGCTGAAGACTGTTTATCTCCTTTAGTGCTGTAGCTTTATTTTCTTTAAATATTGGTCTCGGTTGACTATCCCTTTTTTTTTTGGATTAACTACACTTTAGTGCTTGGAGGTTTAGTGTCAGTATCGAAATGGGCCCCAAAGTTTCAATTAAATCAATTTCATACCTGATATTTCAAAATATTACCAATTTACACCCGCTGTTACATTGACCGTCAAAGTCAGACGTTAAATGCTAACGTGGCAATCATGGGACCCACTTCATAACCAAACAACATTTAAAAAGAGACTAATATGGGACCCACCCACTAAACACTTCCAAAAATTAATTTTATATAAAATAATAATAATAAAAAATTTAAAAAAATTTAAAAAAGCCAAAGAGTTGCAGACCCAGCCTTTTCTCTTCAATCTCAACTTCGCTGGCTTCCATCCTCTCCATCTCCAAAAACAATCTCAACCCAAATCTCCATCATTGACAGGGCAAAAAAAACCCACAACCTCTCCCACAGCTAGTATCGAACCAACCCATTAATGTTGGAGGGCAGTGAAGGAAATGGAAGACGTGGATAGATGCAAAAAGAGCTAGGATGGAGAGGATGGAGAGATGCAGACCCACCATGGATAGATGTAGAGATATTGGAGGAAATGGGTTATTTATGGTGGATTTGTTTAAAAAAAATTTATAAAAAAAATTGGATTTGGTTACTGTGATTTTGTTTTGTTTTGATGGTGGAGTGTGTTGTGTGTTTTGGTGATTTGGTTGTTTTATCTTTCCCTTTTGAAATTAGTTTGTTGTCTGCAGTGCTAGTTCGAAGGGTTGTTTGGGTTGTGAGGTGTCGCCGATTTTGGACCAATTAGCAACGGCAATCATCGTAAGGCGGTCCCGCTGAATCTCCGACAAGGTTATAGAGCTCGGGGGCGCCGAATCGGGTTTGGCCTCAACCAGCTTCTCGCTGGGCTGGTGGGGTTGCTCGACTGGGTACTCGGCGACATGGTGACGCTTGAAATCGTATGCCCCTGTTCCGTACACCTTCGTCATTGCAAATGTACTCACTGATTGAGGACCCCAAATTAGGTTTTGGGATAGGATGACTGAAGAGGAGGTGTGGTTTGAGGGAAAGTTAGGGTTTAGTGGAGTATAACAGGGAGACTTGCAAAATTTGGGATTTTTGAATTTTGGCTCTGATAAAGATCACGTTAGTAGTAGTACTGCTTGCTTCCGTTCCTCTCCAAAACCCTCCATTTCAATTTCTCGATAGTTATGTGAAGTGTGCGAGGGTGATGAAAGTGGGTAGAGGCGGTGGAGTCGGTGGAAGGTTGAGATTCTCGAGGTGAGGTGGCGGGGGAGGATGTGGCTCAGTGGTGCGGTCCAGTGGCCGATTGTGGCTTTGGAGGATTTCGAGCTCTTGGGTCTGTTGGGCTTTCAAGTTCTGGGCAGAGAGAGGAAGAGAGATAGGAGGCGAGAGAGAGAGAGAGCAAGAGAGAGAGAGAGAGAGAAAGTTGGGATTTTAAAAAAAAAAAAATCTAATTTAATAATATTTTTAAAGAGTTTTTTATTTTTTATTTTCCTGAAATTGCCCTTTATTTCGTCTTTTTCTAATCACTGTTTGATTATGAAGTGGGTCCCACGACTGCCACGTCAGCAGTTAACGTCTGACTTTGACGGTCAATGTAACGGCGGGTGTAAATTGGTAATATTTTGAAATATCGGGTATGAAATTTATTTAATTGAAACCTTGGAGCCCATTTCGATACTGACACTAAACCTCCAGGCACTAAAGTGTAGTTAATCCTATTTTTTTTTATAAACTTGGGCTGATTGGCCAATTTGCTATGAAAATTTGAGTTCATGCTTTTACCAAAATTTGTGTTGAGTTTGTAGACTGCTTGACTGGCCTACTGGTGCTTGAGTGGACAATTATAGTTGGAGTTGTGAGTTGTCACTTTAGTGGACCTGTTGGTCGCTTAGGTGGGCAAAAGTAGTCGAAGCTATGCATTGTCGCTTTGGTGGACCTATTGGCCGATTGGTTAGGTAGCAATAACCGAAGCTCTGCGCTGTCGCTTAGGTGGACCAATTGGCCTCTTGGTTGGGCAGTAATAGACGAAGTTATGCTCTGTCACTTAGGTGGACCTATTGCCACTTGGTCAGAGTTGTACGTTGTAGCTTAGTTGGACGAATATTCAAGGTTTTAGAACCTCAAATGCCTAAGTCAATAAATGGTCTCATGGAGATGCATATCATATTGAAAGGACGAAGTTTCTGTTCAATATTGAAGAGCCTCTCAAATTTATCTTCTTTTTTGGCTGAAATGAGTTAACCAGTCGTCGAGTGAGTTACCATGTTCTCGGCTTTGCACATCTCTCGAAGGATACTTAGATGTTTACCCACCCATATGGAATAGGTGCCTACCTCTTGGAAGGGTGAATATTTCTCGAACACTTCATTGAATGAAAAATTGAACTTACATTGATGCTTGTGTAATTACATTGCTTTATGAAATGGAAATAATTGGATGAACTGTTGGGAAAGATGGCGAAAAATCAAAGAGACAATAAATAAATATGGAATTTCCAGGATCTGACTTCTCCTAGCCTTGTGTAAATAAAACGGCCAAAATTAACACTATATCTTCCACTAAGAAAAATAATGAGAATACAATAACAATCTCACCAAACACCGGTGGCTAAACTCTCTCTTGGTTTTTCTCTCAAGAGGATTTTCTTTCTCACACAAGTGAGGCTTTCTTATCTCTCAAAACTGTCTGAAAGAAGGTAACTACTTTTATAGCCAACAATCCTAACTAATTGGTGGCCATGCATGAGGGAAAGCCGGTGGCTAAACTCTCTCTTGGTTTTTCTCTCAAGATGATTTTCTTTCTCACACAAGTGAGGCTTTCTTATCTCTTAAAACTGTCTGAAAGAAGGCAACTACTTTTATAGCCAACATTCCTAACTAATTGGTGACCATGCATGAGGGAGAGTTTTTCTCATTTTCTCTTCCATTCGTTTTCTTCAAATTTTCCCGTCCTTTCTTTCATTTTATTTTAATATTTATTTTCCTTCTTTTTCTCTCCTTCACTAAAGAGGGAAACCCATCAATCTCCTCCTCCCGACTTAGGTGGAGGGCTCCAGTAGTCTAACTGCTTTTTTGCAAAATTTGTACTTGTCCTTAGGTAAGGACTTGGTCATCATATTTGAACTGTTGTCATCAATATGGATTTTCTTAAGCTGTAATTGCTTAGACTCTAACACATCACGTATCCAGTGATATCGTACATCAATGTGCTTCGACCTCGAGTGAAAACTCGGATGCTTGCTCAAGTGGATCGCACTATGACTATCATAATGCAAAATGTATTTATGCTGCTCTTACCCTAATTCTTGTAGGAATTTCTTCATCTAGGGCATTTCTTTGCAATGCTTCAGTAGTTGCAATAAACTCTACCTCTGTAGTTGATAGAGCAACACATTTCTGTAACTTTGATTGCCACGAAACTGCTCCCCTGAAAATGTAATCAGGTATCCTGAAGTAGATTTTCTGGAATCAAGATCTCCTGCCATGTATGCATCTGTGTAGCCAATCAATGTAGGTTTTCCACCTCTAAAGTACAAACTCATTTTGGAAGTACCCCTGAGATATCTGAGAATCCACTTCACAGCATTCCAATGCTCTTTGCCTAGTTTAGACAGGAATCTGCTTACAACGCCAACTGTGTGCGTTATGTCTGGCCTCGTGCAAATCATTGCATACATCAAACTACCAACAATTGAGGAATATGGAACCATAGCCATGTTTTCTTTTTCTTTCTCACATGTAGGACTTTGCTTTGAACTAAGCTTGAAATGACTAGGAAATGGAATAGAAACTGATTTTGCTTTATCCATGTTAAACAGCTTTAGTACCTTCTCGATATAACTTTATAAGCTCTTTTTTAGCCGACATACCAAATCTTCTTTTCCTTTGACTTTGAATCATTCTGGCTGCTCCATGTAGATTTCTTCTTCAAGATCTCTGTGAAGAAAATCTGTTTTCACATCTAGCTGTTCGATCTCGAGATTCAGGCTTGCAGCCAAACCGAGTACAACTCGTATGGATGACATCTTCACTATAGGTGAGAAAATCTCTTCAAAGTCAATTCCTTTCTTCTGACTAAAACATTTCACAACTAGCCTTGCCTTAAACCTGGGCTTAGAGTTGTTTTATTCCGTCTTCAGTCGATACACCCATTTGTTCTTGAGTGCTATTCTACCTTTTGGAAGGTTCACCAGATCATATGTGTGGTTCTCATGCAGAGATTGCATCTCTTCATGCATGGCTTTCAACTACTCATCTTGTTGATGATGAGTCAATGCTTCTTTATAGCATTCTAGTTCTCCCCCGTCTGTTAGGAGAACGTAATCATCTGGAGAATACCTACTCGGAGGTCTCCGTACCCTGGTTGATCTTCTTGGTTGGAATTCGGCCACTGGCACTTCATGGGCTTGTGTTTCTAGCCCCTCATCAGCTACATCATCGACTATACCATCAACTGTATGATCATCACTCATGTCATCATCAACTGGTTTATTTATAATAGGATCACTAGCTGGATCATCAGTATCATTGTATTCATCTCGCCCGTCATTGTGCTCCAATGGAGGAGGAACTGGATCCAAGTTAGCTGGATATTCTCTAGGATTATCAAGTTTATCACCTCTTCGAATGTTTTCAATGTTCTGATCTTCAAAGAAGACAACATATCTACTTCTCATAATCTTTCTAGCTACATGATCCCATAACCTATAACCAAATTATTCATTCCCATATCCCATGAAGATACATTCTTTCGACTTTGCGTCTAGCTTGGATATCTCGTCTTTAAGAATATGAACAAAAGCTCTACAACCAAAAACTTTCAAATGATTGTAGGAAACGTCTTTTCCCGACCAGAACTTGTTCGGGACATCACTATTCAAAGGTGCTGAAGGAGAAAGGTTGATTAGATCAACCGCAGTCATCAGCGCTTCACCCCAAAAACTTTTGGGTAGCTTGGCATGAGATAACATTGTTCTTATTCTTTCAACAATTGTTTTGCTCATTCTCTCAGTTATGCCATTATGCTGAGGAGTCTTCAAAACAGATCGTTCATGCCTGATTCCATTACATTTACAGTAGTTTCTAAACGCCCCCATATATTCTCCTCCGTTATCGGTGCGAATACATTTCAAGCTTCTACTAGTCTCTCGTTCAACGCTAGCATGAAACTGCTTGAAAACTTCATATACTTGATGACAGGACCCGACCCAAATTCCACTTTGGAATTCGAGCCGAATCCTGTGCGTGATCGACACCTAGCGGGTGCTGAGCACCAATGACCTTATTACCCTTCTTGTTAAAAACTTAACTTCATTTCATGTTCGACTTCTACCGAAAATTCGGCAAAGTTTCCCATGTAAATTGAACATTCCCAAAATTTACACATGTCAACAAGCACTTCAAAATATATATAACCCAACAGCTAGCATGAGTATATATATATATATATATATATATATACATTCCAATAGTTAAATTTGAGTTGTAGGGCAATTTATCTGAGCATCCGCTAAGAAGTTACACAAGAAGTCGACTCATTTACAGACGAGCCCTACATCAGGATGAGGGAGCGTGGAAAATGGGAATGGCCCTGTGGTGGAACACTGTGCACGTCTACTGCCTGGGGGCGCAAAACATTGGAAAAATGTGAGTGGACCAAAAACAAGGTTTAGAAAATAGTACAAGAACACACTAACCCCACTGTAAAAACAGTTATAAAAACTGAATCAATTTCCTCATATATACTCGTACCCATATTATATCAGTTAATTCCCTCGCATCACCATTGGTGACATGCTCTTGCAGGTCTCGGTGACACAAGGTCGACACGAGTCGCCCTCTCTTGCAGGATTCGGGTGATCAACCTGATCCGCCTCACTCGCTCCGCATCGTCCAGGTACCTCTAGAACTCGTGGGGCACCTATCAAGCATGCTGACCTACCCGAAGGCAACCAATTTATCTGAAGGCAACATTATTATACTAGGGTACCCAAGGTGGTTTTAAGAAAATAAGTTCTTTTTGAAAAGGATCAGAATTTATAAAACTACCTCTTAACTAATCTGAAATCCTACTGCCATCTAACCCAACAAATTAGGTAAAAACATTCTCAACTCGGCAGCAAATAATTGAAATACTTAACCATAACAATATATGCTATTACGCCCTCGATCTAATACATATTTCTATAGATCACATCATGAATATAAATGGCATAAAATCATTTTAAAAACAAAGGTCCACTCACTCCTGGTCCGAGCTAGCTGGACCTCTTGAAGGTCCTTCCTGCGAGTCAATCCAAGCCTGTGTGTCTGATTAACCAACATGAATATCTTATTAATAAATTGCCCGGTAGTAAAATATTAGATAAAACCTTGACCCCCGGCTCCTAAAATTGCGTGCACTAACTTAGAATCAATCATGTGCCCTCATTAACGTTCCTTAAAACCTAGGACACACGTCCCGTGAATCTGGTCTCGATTGGATAGTTGGATTGATCACGATCGCACAATCAAACGGTTCCTAAAATCTTAAACCTAGGGTTCGCGATTTCGGAGTATCCGGGACTCCGATTCACGATCCGTCGTGTAACAACCCGGTCCTTAATTAATATTTAATCATTAATTTATTATAGTAAAAGAAAATTATACCCCTAGAATATTTTATTAGGTTTAAAAGTTGACTTTTTAAACCGGGAAGGAATTTGGGGATTTCAGTTATACCGTTGCGTAAAGCGCAGCTAGATGAGTCCGCAGACACGTAGTGGGCTCAAATCCGAGTTATAACAAAGAAATTACAGTCAAAATACGTTCAGGGGAAAAATGGTAATTTGCCTGGTCAGATTTTTAAAACCCCTCTCTCTCCTTGGTTCGACAGAACCCCTCCCCTCCCCCATTTTTCAGTGCAGCTGTGGCTTTTTCAAGCCACCATCACCGCCATGTGCCATGGCCGGCCACGAGACCGGTTGGATTAGGACCGCCACCAACCCAGCCACATGTTCTGCCGCAGCCCAGAACTCAGCAGCATCTCCGGCCGCCGGAAACAGCCCAAGAACAGTCGGTTTTTGACAGAACTTTCGAGCTCTCGTTCTCCGTCGTCCGGCCACCAAATCGGACGAGTGAGGTATGGTTTCCTAGCTATTTTCCATGCTCTAACTGCTGGTTGGGTAGGATTTCAGAGATTTCAAGCGTAGATCGTCCGATTGTTTAAGTTAGGTTTTAGCAGATTTTTGGGTCACTATTTCTGCCACTTCCGGCCAGTTTTTGGGGTAGGTCCGAGAACAAAAGTTGTTCCAAATGGGGTGTTTTACCTAAGTTAGGAGTTTGGGAGGGTGGTTTGGAGTTTTCCCGATCGCCGGAAATTGATCAAGCCACCCACACGCTGCCGGTGCGTGTGGCGGCGCGTGGGCAGATTGGTGGAGATCACATTCAGTTTTAGAATGATCCTTGTGTCATCACGAGTGCATAGAATTTTGCGGATCTCAATTTGGTTAACGTTTGAACCCCTAACGGATCTCGCATCTTATGTGATTTCTGGGTTCAATAGTTTTGCACTGTCGGATCGTAACCATTTTCAGATAGGATAATCTAAACGTTCCCAGGATCGTATAGTATTTGACGGATCGTAAAACGGAGTCCCGAATACTCCAAGAATGCCAATCCTAGAACCAGGTTTACAGTAAACAGTTCAGTTACAGATTAGGAACAGAAGAAAGAACTAAGTGTGGCTTGATCCCTCAGTAAGGGTACGTAGGCAGCCTATAGTTATCAGGCGCAGCCACGAGTTAGGGGCATCAAGGTTTATGTTACTGTTTTCAGGGCATTTTGGTCATTTACGACCCACGGTTACCAGATCTCAATTTTAAACAAGTTTCGACCCGGATTCTAAAGTAGAAATTGGATTAGGTCGTTTCACGTCGAACCCTAAACGATCTTGGCAAAGTCTAGATTAACATATCTGAAAAAGATTACGATCCAACGGCTCAACTGTATTGAACCTGAAAATCACACAAGATGAGAGATCCGTTCAGGGTTCAAACGTAGTCCAAATTGAGATCCGCGAATTCCTACGAGCTCGTGACAACACAAGGATCATTCAAGGATTGAATGTGGTCCCCACCAAACTGCCCACGTGCCGGTAGCACGTGGGTGGCCTGATAAATTCCTGGCGGCAAGAAAAACTCCAAACCGCCGGCCCAAACTCCTAGCTTAGGTAAAACACCAAACTTGGAAACACTTTTGTTCTTGGACCTACCCCAAAAACTGGCTAGAAATGGCCGGAATTGCACTCTCAAAACCGGCTGAAACCTAAATTGAAAATCGAAGTGTTTAAGCTAGAAATTCCTGAAATGCTACCCAACTAACAGCTTGAGCATGGAAAATAACTAGAAAACCATACCTCACTTGTCCGATTTGGTGGCCGGATGATGGAGATCGGAAGCTTGGAAGTTCTGTCAATACTGGCGTGATCTCGGACGTTTTCCGGGGAAAACCAGAGGTTCCAAGGGCAGGGACCGGTCGGGAAAGGAAGAGGAAGCAGCGGTGGTTCGATCGGGTCTGGTCTCGTTGGTCGGAGTAGAGGATGGCGGTGGTTATGGAGGAGAGAAGGTGGCGGCTGGAGGATATTTTCAAAAGGGGGAAGGGTTCTGCGCGACAAAAGAGAGAGGGAGGAGGGTTTTAAAAAAAAATCTGATTTCCAAAATTACCATTTTGCCCCTTGAAGTATTTTGACCGTATTTTCTTCGTTACAACTCCGATTCGAGCCCACTACAAGTCTACGGACTCGTTTCGTCCCGCTCTATGCAAGACGCCAGTGGAATATTCACAAATGATCCTCTTCACACTTGATCTTCTTCTTCCTTGATCCCTGCAAAATAGATGCGGCCAACGGAGCATACCTGGGGCGTGTTGGCCAAAGGCACTCCGATGCCTAAGTCAGTTCAACGGTTTTAAGAAGTTGTAGCTTTAACTGAAAGGATAGAGCTTTCTCTTTGAGAAGAGAGATATGGGGCGGCCAGAATGTAGAGAGAGAGAGAGAGAGAGAGAGAGAGAGTCTCCTTGTTGGCTAGGGTTCTGAAATTACCTCATGTGTGGTGAGATGCCATCTATTTATAGAGTCTCCTTGTTGGCTAGGGTTTGTAGAGATAATTCTCATATGGAAAGGAATTATTCTTTTCTTTAATGATAGTATAATATCAAGAAGATTTGCTGGAAATCAGATCCTTGATTTAGGGAGATATTCCTATCGTAAATCAATTAGCACAATTATTTGACATAAGGAATATTCCTCTATCCACATGTTACCTTGTGATTGGTTGCTAGAAATTCATGTTCCCACAGTCGCCACCTTGGAGACAGAGAACACCACCGAGATTGCAACCACTCACCTTACAACTAAAACACAAACCAACAAAATCACAAATCTAAGCAGATCTAGACATAACTAACCTCCCCACAATTAAAACCCTAAATCTAGTAAATGGGGAATGGGAAAATAAGTGGGGAGGTAAGGAAAAGAGAGAAAGGGAGAGAGGAGGAAGGGCCTCCTCCCCCCTCCCCGGAACACAGCAAAAGAGGTTTGAGAGAGAGAAGGGAGGCTAGGGTTTAGAGAGAGCTATTAGTATCACCCAATTTTAATAAGTCCTGCTAAACGAACCTTAAAATTAACTGAGTACACCCTATGATCTGAATACACCATAATATTTAAATCAAAATGTAAAATTAACTAAGTACACCCTATTTAACTACTAAAAATACCCCTGGTACACCCTAATACACTATATCACACAACACCATAATACCAATCCTAAACCAGGTTTCTCTTTTTACATGAATTCGTGCCATCTTTTTAGATTTTGCTAGCTTCTTCAATTCAAAGCTTTGATTCTTGTAAATCCTTGTGATATTCTCCTGCATTTGTTCCTCACATCTTTCATTGTCATTTTTTTATTCTTAGCTGCACATAAAACCTATAGAATCCCCATATCGAATACTTGATTAATTACTAGGGATGAAATCAAATAAAAGAAATACAAAATTTATAAAAGTTCCTAGTGAAGTATATAATAAAGTTATCTTATAATAAGGTAGGGTATAACATATAATTTGCATGAAGAACATAGTAGAAGCCCCAAAAAATTGTCTTGGATAACCCGTAGTGCTTTTGCTAGTTCTAACAAATCCATCTTTCTGTCTGAGGTCTTCAAGAAAATTGAATTTTGATATGTTACCAAATATCACTCCAACTTCACTATCAAGTCCTGGTAAAGGAGATGATGCAAGTCCAACTCTTTTAGGTTCATCTAAGAAAATTAAATTTGAACAAAATTGGATGTTGTTTGTGCTAAAACTAAACAGATAGAGATGAGAGCAACTTACAAGTGACATGGGCGGTCTAAGGACCAGATGTGCCTTTGGTAAGCACGTTCTTCCTTGGTATGGCAATACTGGATCTAGGCCAAGAAGAGAAAACAGCAGATGAGGCCTAAACCACCGGTGGGGTACCGGCCGAAGACCCTCCGATGCTAAAGTTAGTTTCAAGAGCAAGCTATTGACAATGTAGAAGCATATGAGTCAAGTCGAAAGTCTTACCTTGTATCTAGCGCTAGAGGCCCTATTTATAGAGAGCACTGGGTACTCTCCTAGTACTTAGTTTTGATGTGGGACTCGTGGGAATGCCTTCTGAGGTTGACACGAGTCCAATAAATATCCCAGTGAGGGATTCGAGAACGTCTTGTGAGATGTCTTTTAAGGCATAGAATCGGCAAAGCGTACCGAACATATGGTTTCTGACAATCGGCGGATAGAGCAGGGAGCGCCTACCGTTTGTGGGACTAGGCTTGCCAGCATGGGTTACAGGGCTGCATTGGGTGCCAAATCAGTCATGGACACCGAAGGTAGCTACCGATCCATACAATTGGTTTTGCTAGTATGGGCCATAAGGCCTTCCCCAGTGTTGTACTCTTTCCACGTGTCATGACGTGAGTGGCGAGTTAGATATGGTACAAACAAATGTAGTAAGGAGGACGCTAACCAAATTGGAAGTCAAAGTATTAACTATAGAGTGTTGTTAAACGAACCCTAAAAGTACACTCTAATATTTAAAGACACTACTCAATACCTTCATATTATTAGATGATTAGATCATCTCCGCCGCTAACTTTTGTTTTGCTTCACCTAGTGAGTGAATGTTGAACAAACATTCAAGGCACTTAGACACCTGCTTGTGCCTACGCCAGTGATTGCTACGTTGTTCGCCGTGGCACCAAGCAATACGAAAACTTCTCTATGTTTGATTAGGGTTGAATATGGTGAGTAGGCTGTACTTATTAAAATTATATTTGTTTCACAATTCAATATATCCTTTTTAGTCATCTTATATTAGGGTAAATTAGTAATTTAATAAATAGTTTCGTAGTAGGATGTACTCAGTTAATTTTAGAGTTCATTTAGAAGCACTCATTTTAATTTGCAAAACAAAATATTATTCTAACAAATTCCTAACTAGGAGTGGGCATTGAGACTGGAAAATCGGAACACCAAGCTGCACTAGATGGAATCAACAGGAAAAAAATTGTGTTAACTAAAATGTCAACAAACCAGCATCGAATTGGACTAGACCAATTGAAACCGGTTTCGGTGCCGGTTTCACACCTTACCTAATCGAACTTCAATGTCCAATGCTAATTTCTAATCCCATAACTAATATTTCCCCAAACCCAACTTCAAAGAAAATTCCTTTTCTAGGCCCAATCATCTCTCTTTGCATGAAATTGGATCATTTATGAATTTTAAAGCCCAAAAAATAAAAAATTTGTTAAAATTTGTATATAAAACAATATGGTTCGAAATATTAAAAAAAGGGAAACCGCACCAGAACTCATTTAAATCAGATTGGCCAGTTTCATAAAAAATTTCACCAAAACTGAATCGAACCACATCGATTAAATTCTACTGCTTCCAATTCTGGTGTGAGATAGAAACTAGACTGGACCGAACCGCACCCACCCCTATTCCTAACAATCAAAACACCCCGTATTTACAGTAAAAGGAACAAGTGGGTTGGAAAGAAACTTTTTCTTTTATCTTTTTCAATGATTGTACTCCAAAAGTGAAACATAGCAAACACCTTTGATACCTTCCACTTCCCCACTAAGAGCATCAGAAGTGGAAGGGTGTATAAGAGGGTGTATGTCAAATATAAACCTTTTGTTGCTTGAATCAACTACAATGGGGAGGTGTTTGTGGGCGTAAATTTGCATTTCTTGTTGGAGATAGGAAATTAAATGCAGTTGTACATCTATTTTTAGATTTTTTGCAGGCGGATCCCACGAGAGAGAAAACTGGAGAGAAAATATTGATGAAGAATTAAGTGCTTTATATGCGCACCTAAGCTTTAGTTGCCAGCCAACTGCTGCTCCGCAAGTCCCACGACTACTTAGTACATTCTGACATCATCGCATTGCTTCTTGCAACTGTCTTACTCTTCCCAAGAATCAAGTGCTGTGATTTATCTCCATTCAAAATAGAAGGCCCAAATTCATTGACCTTTATAAACTGAAAAAATTAGCCAAATATTCTTAAAAAAAATTAGCTAAAATAAATACATAACCATCTAATGGTTCAAGAAATTCAAAACTAAACACTTACAATGTTATTTTCTTAATCTTATCATAATTTTAAAAAATTTAGGTTAATTTCTTTGGACAAAAAAAAATTAAGCTTAACATAAGAAACAATTAACACAAAAAAATTAACACACAAGAAAATTTTACATAAAAATGAGTTAATACAAAAACCAAATTTACATCTTCCCTCATTAGAGCAAAGTCATGATTTATATCCACTGGAAATGTAAAGGGAATGTAAAAGTGACTTGACGCCCCCAAATTTACATCTCCCCACTGTTGATGCTCTAAGCCAATCTTTCATTAAGAAATTACACCATATTTATACAACACTTTCCCAACACTATTGGATATAAAAGAAACATGAGATTACAAGGAAATATAAACATCTTGTAATACAGACAAGTCTACAAATAGTACACGTGATTTACTATTGGAGTACAAGAAAAATATACATAGGACCATAATAACATACAAGATTTACTTTCCTCATTTAATGCAAAGTTACATCCGGAAGCGCAATGAGTTATTTACATAAACACCCCCTCAAGTTTTTGGCTTTTTCACTAAACCCCTTGAGGTTTCAGAAATTACACGAACATCGCTGAGGTTTCAAATTGTTTTCACAAAACCCATTTTCATTGATTGTTTGTCCAAAACTTAACGATTTCAACTAAAAAACGTGTGCAAATGACAAAATCAACCTTTTGTCATTTGCAAAATTTTATATATATAAAAGGATTAATTACAGTTTAGTACCCTGTGATTACACCTTAAGACATGTTAGTCCCTATCTTTTTAATTTTTACAATCACACCCCGATCTTTTAAATTTGTTACAATGTGGTTCCGCCGATAGGGTTTCTGTCAGATTTCTCTGTTAGTTGCCTACGTGGCACTAGGGATCTCACATTTTCTCTTTTATTATTTAGGGTTAATTATAGTTTAGTACCCTGTAGTTACACCCTTAAGACATGTTAGTCTCTATCTTTCCAATTTTTACAATGTGGAGAAATCTGACGGAAGCCCTAGCGGTGGAACCACATTGTAACAAATTTAAAAGATCGAGGTATGTGATTATAAAAATTGAAAAAATAGGGACTAACATGTCTTAAGGGTGTAACTATAGGGTACTAAACTATAGCTAACCCTTTTATTTAATTTTAAATTGATTAAAATATAAATAAAATATTAAAAATAAAAGGAGTTTCACTAATACACCCAAAATAGGGGCTGAAATTATAAAAAAACCCAACATGAAAAACACTTTAGAAACACACCCAAAACCATTTATTAAACACACTCAAAACCCATTTATAAACACACCCAAAAAATATATAATTGTTGATTTTTGGGTTGATTTTGGGTGTGTTTCTATGTTTTAAATAGTGTTGGGTTTTTTTATAAATTCATGTCTAGAATTGGGTTTATTTATAAATATACACTTCTCTCTCCTCTACACTCTCCTTCTCCCCCACCGATTTCTTATGCCCTCATTCCCCATGACCACCACTTGCCCCCATGAACCCAAAACCCAACGTCGGCCCACCCCCCAACGTAGCCCGCAACTACATTAAAGAGAACAAAAAACACATCCACATAACCTAGAACACCAACAACTGCAAAAAAGAGAAAGAAAAAAATGTCCACAAACCCAAAACCACCACCCCCCCCCCCCCCCCCCCCCCCCCCCCCCCCGCCGTCCCCCCCCCCGTCCCCCCCCAAATGAATCCAACAACTACCTAGACCCCAATCCCCGATTTTCCTTTGTTTTTGAGAGACCACAACCCACCACCCTCCTCCCTACCCAGCAACCACTGCACAGCCAAAAAAAAAAAAAAAAAAAAAAAAATAAAAAAAGACACCAAAAAATACAGCCCCCAAAAAAAAAACAACACACCCACCCACCCACCCACACCCCCAAATCCCCCATAACCCCCACCCCATAGGCCCTCCCCCCCTCCTCACCCATTATGTTTTTCACCCACAAACCCTCAACCCACCACCTGCATATACCAACCATGTTCAATTTTTTTTTCTTCCCAATTTGTTGGTTTTTTGCGAAGAAGGAGTGGTGGTCATGGGGGAATAGGGGGAAAAGAAAATCAATAGTGGGGGTTGCTGGTTTGGGATGGATTTTGTTGTTGTTGTCGTCTTTCTGTAGTTGCGGGCAGGGTTTGAGGGTGGGGGGCATAGGGGTTCTAGGTTAGAGGGACTTTGGTTGTGGGCTGGGGTAGAGGGTGGTTGTGGGATGGGTTTGACAGTTGGAGCTTGCGGGTGGTGTTCATGGGCAGGGGCGGATCCACATAGGGCAAGAGGGGTCAATTGACCCATGCAAGCTCGGAATCCACCATTAGAGGAGAAGATGTTGACCCCTGCAAATTGCCCATAAATTGCTTGATGAAATGCTCTAGAGGGCACAACACAGCAGGCAGATTACCTTATTTCCATTTTCAACATTTAAAAAAGAGAAAATGTGGGACCCATAGTGCCACGTAGGCAACTAACGGAGAAATCTGACTGAAACTCTAATGGTGGAACCACATTGTAACAAATTTAAAAGATCGGGGGTATGTGATTGTAAAAATTAAAAAGATAGAGACTAACATGTCTTAAGAGTAAAACCATAGGGTACTAAATTATAATTAACCCTATATAAATTCATCAATCTTTAGTTGAAAAATCAACACAAATGGGCATTGTGAAAACAATTTAAAATCTCAAGGGGGTGTCCGTGTAATTTCTAAAACCTCAGGGAGTTTTGTGAAAAAAACCAAATTTCTGAGGGGGTATTATTGTAAATAACTCGAAAGGCAACCGACCTTCTAACCTCAAATATTATGCTAGTCATCTTAGGCAAATTATCCAAATTCATTGAACTCATTCTCATGAAGGCTTGTATAACTTAAAAAATGGTTGGAGTTGTAGTGGACATGTAAGATTGGTGATTGGATTTTGTGGGTTTATGGTCCCGATTAGGACTACTTCTATAAGAAATGAGAAGTACTTTTGCTCATATGCCTTTTCAGACACACTTTTATTAAAGGCACATCAAAAAATTTATTCAAAAGCACTTGGAAAGTTTTTCCGTCTTCATAAAACCCATGTTTTTAGCCATTATAGGAGTAGTTCAAAACATGCTTTTATTGTCAATCTACATAAAGCACATATAAAGGGTTTCTGAGTAGTGTTTTTTCTAGTACAAGCGATTGAAAGAGGGGATTTACATAAATATTCATTGGGTGTTTAGGGGTTTCGAACCTCTGCCCAAAAAAGTGGAGATGGAGGAGCTCAACAAATTTAGCTATATCCCACTAGATTCTGATTAGTGTTTAATTAAGTGTCAAGTTCCTTCATTGATTTAAAAAAATAAATAAATACTCGCCTCTCGCTATCTTGGGCCACCTTTTTACTCTGGGCTGTGCCTGTGTTAGAATTTTTTGTTTGTTTGGGCTTCGGCCAGCCTCTTAACCCGGGAAAAAAAAACCGGATAGCAGCGAAACGCCTAAACCTAGAAGAAGCAAAACGACCTTCTTTCTCAACTCGCAGTTCCAAAACCCTCTCAGTCGCTTTATCTCTCTCTCTCTCTCTGTCTCAGCTGTTGCCGCAAAACCCAGGAGCTCTCTGGCTATGGCGGAGTACGACCTAACTCCACGCATCGCGCCTAACCTGGACAGGCACCTGGTGTTTCCCCTTCTCGAGTTCCTGCAAGAGCGACAGATGTACCCAGATGAGCAGATCCTCAAGTCCAAGATCGAGCTCCTTAACAAGACCAACATGGTCGACTACGCCATGGACATCCACAAGTCCCTCTACCACACCGAAGACGTCCCCCAAGGTAAAATTATATACATGGTATATATTTTTGTCTTTATAGGTGTATGTGCTTTGGGTTTTGTGTGTGCACATTATGTGTTTGACAATTTTTCTGTTTGATTATGGGTTTGCTTAGATATGGTGGAGAGGAGGGTTGAGGTGGTGGCTCGCCTCAAGGCCCTGGAGGAGTCGGCGGCCCCGCTTGTGAATTTCTTGCAGAACGCGGCTGCCGTTCAGGAGCTGAGGGCTGACAAGCAATACAATCTCCAGATGCTCCATGAGCGTTACCAGGTTGCCCAAGTTTTCTTCTTTTCCTTTTACTTTTTAAAACCCAGGAAAAGAAGTAAAGCATTTAAAAGAATAATTGCATATGCTATGCAGTGCAATACTGCATGTGTTTATAAGGTGTTATCTTAGAAGCCCACTCATTTAATTGAAAAAGGTCTAATTGTTGTATGATTAACATTACTTTTATTGAACGAAGAGATTTGGTTATTGTTTTTGTTTTTGTTTTTTGGAGTTATTTTGTTTTGGCATAAGTTTAACTCTCCTGGCATGAATTTTTTGAACAGATCGGTCCACAGCAGATAGAGGCATTGTATCAGTATGCGAAATTTCAGTTTGAATGTGGTAACTACTCTGGTGCCGCTGACTATCTCTATCAGTACAGGGCTTTATGCACAAACAGTGACAGGAGTCTGAGTGCATTGTGGGGAAAGCTGGCAGCTGAGATATTGATGCAAAACTGGGACATTGCTCTTGAAGAGCTTAATCGCTTGAAGGAAATTATTGATTCAAAGGTTTAGAAATAATTGATTCAACGGTTTCCTTATTTACATTTTCACACGCTCACACACACGCAGTTGTTTATTTATATGTCCATGTTATTTTAATGAGCTTTTGTATAATGGTGGTGATTTTTGTTGCAGAGTTTCAGTTCGCCTATGAATCAGGTGCAAAATAGAATATGGCTGATGCATTGGAGTCTCTTCATATTTTTCAACCACGATAATGGAAGAACACAGATCATTGACTTGTTTAATCAGGACAAGTATGTCCTCTCCCAATCAATTTTTAATTTTTTTTTCCTTTTACTGTACAATGACATCTCGTTTTATTTATTAATAAAACAACCCAATGTTTGAGGAATTTCTAATTTATCTTGGTTTTTTCTTTTTTCTGGGAAACTAATCTATCTTGGTTTCTAGTTGACATATTTGTCATCTTCATCATTTTATTGACACTCTTGTTGCTGGTGCTGCGGTTTTTCTATAAATTTGACAACTTTGCTTTTGCTTTTATCAATCCTAAACATTGATAATCTCTTGCCTCTACTAGTGTCAGCTTATTTTTCTGAACACGACTCGTTATATTATGTGTTTTACACATATTTGGAAAAAGAAAAGAAGAAAGATGCTTATCGCAATCTTGTTAGAGTGGCATAATTGACATTTGCATGAATGTTATGAATTATGTCTAATTAAAAGTTTGGGTGGAGTCTAGCTTTTTGTGGATAGGATGCCATTAAGATGGTGATTCTTAGCCAACAAATGACTAGGGTTCAAATATTTTGCTTAGAAATCGTCTGATACCGCGCGCCGATATTTTTGAGTTATAAGCTATTTAAGATATGCTTCCCCCTCTGAAATATTGATTTTTGGTGAAGACTGAGTTACTAGACATTTTGTACTTGTATTTCCTGATGGGACTGTTGTGAGTTTTTTCAGGTATCTGAATGCCATTCAAACCAATGCTCCCCATCTTGTGCGTTACTTAGCGACTGCATTCATTGTCAACAAGAGAAGGAGACCTCAATTCAAGGACTTTATAAATGTTATTCAGCAGGAGCAGAATTCTTATAAAGATCCCATAACAGAGTTTTTGACCTGCGTATATGTTAATTATGACTTTGATGGTGCACAAAAGAAGATGAGGGAGTGTGAAGAAGTAAGTGCCTGAACATAGTGGATTGCTTGACTTCTGCTGTACCTTAATTACTCTTGAAAATAGTTGGTTGTATATCTTTTTAGTTTAGGCCCTGGATTAAACTTGATTTGACTATGTAGGTAATATTGAATGATCCCTTCCTTGGAAAACGAGTTGAAGAAGGCAATTTCTCAACTGTACCATTGAGGGATGAGTTCCTTGAAAATGCTCGTCTATTTATCTTTGAGACCTACTGCCGTATACATCAGCGCATTGACATGGGGTAATTGCTTCTTTTTTGGGATTGTTTCTGTGTCAACCTCTTTGTTTTGACATTTAATATTTTACTTTCTATCTAAGAAAGGAAAACAGTAATAAAAATCTGTATTTCACCATGGGAAGTGGTCTATGAGCAGCAATATGTCAGCATTTGCATCGTTCTTTTCTTATTTTTGTTCCTTGTGATTTTCAAGACACTATTGTGCATCCCTGTACAAGGCACTTCTAAAAGTCATTTTTCTTAAATATTTGGGTGCAATTGACTAGTCTTAACATGCTTATTTGTTTTTGGTCCAGAGCTTGGGCGATAGAGGAGTATGTTTGGATGAGATTTGTGTTAAGATAAAAAATTTCAGGCATAATTTTTTTAGTATGTGGTGCATGCATTTGGAGGTCGTATATAAATTGCAGGAATAATGCATGGTTGACTACATATCCGTAAATATTTTCAGAAACATAATTGACTGTATTTTAGTACCATTACCCATTATTATCGGTTTTTTTAATTAACTTACCTTCTTCACTCTTTTCTATAAATACTAAATCTAATTGAATTGCTGTTTGATAGAGTGCTAGCAGAAAAGTTAAACTTGAATTATGAGGAAGCGGAGAGATGGATTGTGAATCTAATTCGCAGCTCAAAGCTTGATGCCAAGATTGACTCACAGTCTGGAACTGTTATAATGGAACCTAACCATCCGAATGTGTAAGTTCATTGATATAGATCTCCAAATTGATAAGAGCCCGCTTGTTTTCGTTTATGACTCAGTTTTGTCTATATGCTTTCACACTTTTTTTCAGTTTTAATTTTCTCTACATTTTTTTAACAAAAAAATTTCATTGTTTCACTGGATTCCAGGTATGAGCAACTGATAGACCACACTAAGGCATTATCCGGACGTACTTACAAGTTGGTTGGTCAGCTTCTGGAACATGCCCAGTCACAGGTTGCTCGATAAATTTTGTTCAGTTCCTAGATATCCAAGATATTCTCTGAAATTTCGTTGACTTGTAACTGAGGCCTGAATTAGCAAGACTAGAAATCTTAAATTTTTGCAAAGGAGTTCACAAGCTTTTCTCAGGAACATGTTGAGATTTGTTGGATAAAAATGTAATTTACTTTTGGAGGCATTATTTTTTGTCGTACCTCTGGAGCTTGGCTTTGAAGCTTATGGATAATGAGTTCAAATTTTACTCTTGCACCATTTAGTCTTTTATTTTCTCTTTTTTCGGATGCCCAGAATAATCTAGCTGAATGCGTTTAGAATTAATTAAGAGGTGTTATTGGATTTGTAGGAAGCTCTTATTTATAATTTGTCATCCCATTTTTCCGAAGTTTTGCATTCTACTTGTTGCATAGTTGCTAAGAGCCCGTTTGATAACCATTTCATTTTTAGTTTTTAGTTTTCATTTTTTGTCATAAAGTATAGAGGAAAATGAGAGTGAGAATGGGAGTGAGGATGAGATTGAAAGAGAGGATGAGAGGGATGAGTAACAGAACTGAGAACAAAATCTTGAAAGTGATTTGAAATAGATTTCAGTTTTTTGTTTTTTATTTTCACTTTTATTACTCCTCCCTCTCATCATCTCCTTTCCCCTCTCAATTCCATCTTCACTCTCTCATTCTCACTTTCATTCTTCCTCTTTTTCATCTATACTCTAGCACAAAAAAAATGAAAACAAAAAATTGAAATTGAAATAGTTATCAAACGAGCCATAAGTTAACAAATTGCAACTTTATCCCTCATTTTAATCGAACCACTGAAAATTGGATTTCCCAAAAACCATTTATTAGTTTTGTTCTTAATGAGCTCTTTAGATGAAGTTGTAACATCATATTTGTGAATAACTTCTGAATAATAAAACCTTGGAACTAACCTCAGCAGCAGTGAGAGATGATAAAGATTTGGTCCGATCCATTCCACTAATCACACAAAGAAAAAAGATTTTGATGCTAATCCCTGTAGAGTGAAATTACCACATAATTATGTTCCTAAGTTTGTTAGTATGAGAGAAATATTTTCTAAATAATTTTGGGATAAAACATTGATTCCATTGATTTTTCCACACTTTGTTTCTAAAAGATGAATTTAAAGATAATTGGAGAAAGTTGAGTACAAGCAGAAGAGAGAAGTACAGGGCTACATATTTTTATAAGGCACCATCCAAGTATCTATAACATGGGCTCACTCATTCATTCAATTAGTACAAACAAGTAAAAAATTTACAATTATTTATCCTCGCTGTTTGTTTTCCATCAAAATGGATGTAAACCAAAGAATTCCAGCTCTTCTTCCATAATCGCTAGCACTTGCCGAGCATTGGAGGTGCAGGACTGAGGTGTTGATCGTTGTATTTTGAAGGTAGTAAATGTATAAACATTGCTGTTGTATTATGACCAAAACTCTCTCATTTCTTTTCCTGTAGATATACAAGATACCAGGCTCAACATCTTGATATCCATTCAAAGCTAGCTTTCAGATCAAAGACTGCGGCTACGTTTGACTGGATCCATTATGAGAATAATTACCTGAGCCCTAGCAGCCAGCACATTTCCATCGATCCCCTATGAAACTAGGGCCATTTAAAAACATGCTGTGCACTTGTGCAAAAAACTCAAATCTTCCAATTCCCTTTTACCATCGAGAATACGAATTTCCATATGTTCTCCAACTCTCCCTGCCGTAGGTCCGACTATTAGAACTTCTCTCAAATGGAGAGCTATGGAAATCAGGTCTTCTATAACTGTTGCGTCCAGGACTCTGAAAATCTGAAGATTTTCTATAAATGCCGCTTTCCTTGCTTTCAATTTCTACTTTTCTCATCTCCTCCTCAAGATCATATTGTGAGCGCTGTTGCAGGAAAGAAAAAAAAAAGGTCATCTAGATTTAGTAAAATGCATGGTTCAAGTCCTGGTTGAAGTATCTACCAGGTACTTTCCTAACAAATTTGCTACTTCCAACTGGACATGTTACCAACCATCCTGCCATCTAAAAGGACTATCAAACAGTAAAAAAAAAGCATGACATGTCACTGAAAATGAATGGGTCTTCAATTAATAGTCAAAAGTACGAACCTTAGATTCAACTTAAGAATCATCATCTTACTTGACCACCAAACATGACAAAAGGACAAAAAAAACATAAAAAGGATGTAAAATAGGAAATCTCTAAGTATAAGGTCACAATTTTTAAAAATGCAGTTGCTGTATCAATATAGGCTAAGAAGTTTTTAAAATGAACATTAAAAAGAAAAAAAAAGTAAGGCCAGAATATGTCTCTATGAAAAGCAAATAACATATATTGCAGGAGCTGGTAGAATCAATATGTTGCATAAATAAAATGGTTCGAATCTAAGTGCAATGACACAATAGTACTCGAGCATCAATCACGTGGACTACTGTTGCATAAGCGACACCCTAGTACCAATATTCTTTTAAAGCAAAACATCAAGTAGCACACATGAAGCGGGAAAAAAACCTTAGCAGGGTCTGAAAGTACTGCATATGCCTCTCCAATCATTTTAAAGAGCCTGTCAGCATCCTTGTGAACCTCCTGAGAGATTTCTTTCCAGAGTTGCCCTTCATCTCCACTCTCACTCCTTGCCAAGAATTGGCCAGCCTAAATCCGCCCAAAAAAGAAAAATAAAAAGAATAGGATGTCAGAGTAAAATGAACAGCAAACAAAGATTAAACGAAAATCGGAGGTATAAAAGTTTAAAACCTTGTCTGGATGATGCTTAAGAGCTGCCTTCCGGTAAGCCTTCTTGATATCAGGACTTGCATCAGATGGTTTAATTCCCCTGGCATTGAGATTTACAATAATCAGTTCTCTGCAGAATTTACAGCAAAATAGGCATAAACATAAATTAAAAAAACTCAACTAGACCTTTATAGAAATTTTACCATCAAACTATCAGTGACATAAAAATAATAACAGAAAAATAATGATATGCTGATAATAATAATTATATAAAACTATCATGAAAACATTAAATAATTACAAATACAGCTAAGTAATCAACCCCTAAATCTCAATCTTAATCAAATAAATTTAAAATAAATGACAACAAATAATTTCTAAGCTTGCATCTACACCATGTAAATACACTGGCTCTTATATCCATCATTTCTTAGAGCTTAATAATACCAAGGTGTTTCCAAAACTGCCCATAAGTCCCCCGTTTTCTATTTATAACTTTTTCCTTTTTCTGACTATTAAGCTTAATGAGAGATTTCATATTGTAATTTTATCTAATAATATCAGATTCCCTTAACGTAAATCTTAAAACTCTAAATTCGTTGACACCAGTCTATATTTTATGAAATACTAACTCTACTGATTCAGTATGAAAAAACTAGGCTCCTAGAATCACATATGAGCAAGGCGATTACTGAGCTATGAAGGCATTAAGATAATAAGAACTTACAAAATGAGATAAAAATCCAAAGAGATTCCTTTCTTAGCTTCTTCTTCTATCAAAGGCATTCGTCGATGAGCATGCCGTAATTCTTTTACACAGCCATTGGATCTACCTTTTGAGCTACACTCTTTGGCTTTGTCATTAGATTGGTTTTCCAGAATGGATATAAGTCTTTGGAGATCACTAGCTGCCTGTCCATAGTCTCGTATCATCTCATGTAAGGTAGCTCTTCTAGAAACTGCCTGTTAAGGGCAGAAGCAGTCAGAAACAAGAAAACTGATGGAACTACTTCAAGTTCAGAATAAGTCGGTGCTAAAGAAATCAATTATTTAGAAACTGAAACTATGAATATTGACACAATTGTTTTCATAAACTACAATTACAGGGGCCGAGGATGACCATGTACAAAACAAGGTAACATTTAACAGACTACCTTGATTTCTTGCCAAAATTAGGGAAACCAAACTAATACACTTTGTTCTTTTTAAGAAAACAAAATGGTATAGTTGTCTTGTCTCTTCATTATCAATGAAATAGAACAATATTTATTATAGCATTGCAGCTCAAACTTATTTAAACCATTCTATGAAGTCCAGGACTTCAGTTGTATGCATTGTAGCTTAAACATTGACATTATCAATCGGAATATATCAAATTTAGCATAAGCTCAAGGAGTCACAGATATAAAATGAAGAAAGAACTGCAATTTTTTTTTTATAAACAAAATGAGTATAATGAGAAAGGTGAACGTCTGAAAGATTTCCAATGAAATTATTAGAGTCTATTGATCTTGTCAAATTTTGATATCTACAACTCAGTAATCAGGAAGAAAAAGGGTGTTCGTGACAAGGCCTGTCATTAAGAGCTAACAAAGACCCTAAAAGAGAAATTCACAGGGTGTGTTCACATCATTAAAGGAAAGAGAACAAGTTAATTATTAGTTTACCACACGTGCTTATGTGGTATCCTTCTTGAAATGCACGTTAATGGCATTACCTTTGCATAATTTCCATCAAGAGCAATGGCAAGACTGCAGTCTGCAATGGCATCAGTAATTTGACCCAAAGCTTGGTGTGCTGCACCACGGTTGCACAAACAGATGGCTGAAAATGGACGAGATCCGAAATTGCTAGATAAAGCAACAGTATAATGTTCCAATGCTTCTGCATATCTTCCTGATCTAAATGCTTCATTGCCTGCATTCTGTTTTAGGAAAGTTGTGAATTTAGTTCATTGTGTTCATTTGAAACTTTCAAGATTAACTCAAATGCTCAAAATTATAGGCATAGCTAACTAAAGTTCCAATCCCATACAATTGGATGAAGTATACGCTCCTAGACAAAAGAACAAGAGCACTTATGAACAGTATGCCAGCATAAAGAAAAACAGCCTAGTTGTAAATAACAATCATTACAGTAAAAGACGACTATCAACCTCCCACCAACCCACACCAAGAATAGGCTTCAACCAAACAAAGGAATAAATCAGTTGATGAACTATCTCAGCAATTTAAAACACTGCAGTCTGGGACCTCTCTGACTGTAAGCATCTCTTTCCTTCCCTTCTTTGGATTCAGGGGAAACTGCGTTCTAATATTATAGCAAAGAAAAAAACCTAGTATCCATGATGTTATTTATTAGATACATATTACCAGTAATTAGAGAACATTGAATAACCAGGAACTTTTTGTTTCTGGAGGGTCCTTTCAGGTAAGTGACCCTAAGATTTATACTTTCCAACTTCCAGAATGAGAACTCTCTATCCTAATGAAGGTTTGATGTAGAAGTATGTGCTACCAATCTCTCTTTGTAGTTAAAAACCATTCAGGATATGCTAAAATTGCATGCTTCACAATTGACGCAACACACACTATAGATGATACGCTAAGCATGATAGCCTTAGATGGCATCTACGCAGATGTCAACTAATCCTCCACCGTACTGCAAAGAAATTAAAGCGACAGAGCACTTACCTTGTGGCTTAAAAGTTCGCGTATGGTGACAGCTAACGAAACCGCTAATTCCAATGTCTTACTTGCATACCTACATAGTTAAAATTAGATTCAGCAATTTCCATATCATTAAGAAAAGGACTGCCCTGATTAAACTGGAAAACACAGAAGTTGAATCTGCGCAGAAAACATTGTGTATTACATGTCTTTAGTAGATTCCACTTCCTCTAGCTTCTCGAGTAAATCAAGAGCTGCCTCAAGCCTACCCAAATGAAAGTAAGACTTGGATATGAAGAACCACCTCCACAACCTAACACTGTTCAGTGGAGCGAAATTCCTTTCAGCAAAGAACAAACTCTGCTCACACAACTGAACCGCCTCTTCATACCTCCTTAACTGCAAAATGCAACAAAAAATATACAAAATATTTAGACCACAACTTCGGGTACAAGGAAACAAACACTTTATTATTATTTTTTAACTCTCATATAAAGAGGGAAACCGCCACTTTGGGGGCTTGAAACCAACATGGTGATAACAGAAAGAAACCAACAGTTAAATGTACAGAAGCACCAACCACCACACTCTAATTGATTCAGTAAACTAACTAAAATAAATGAGTGGAGTAATATGGCAAAAGAGCACAGACCAAACACAGAGCCTCTGCTTTCATTTCAAGCAATGTTTCCGAGTATAAACTAACTGACAAGGCCTCAGAAATTATTTCTAAAGCAGTGAGAGCCGCATCAGTAGTTCTCTGGTCCAGCAGCTTGGCAGAACGATTTGTATACTCGACCACTTTCTGCAAATAAAAAAATCACATATATAGCCATCACATCATTTTGACAAATTGTTTATTATAAATAACTGGATGCTTGAGAATAATAAGATTCCCTATTGAGAAGAATACTTAAAACATTGATTAAGTGTATATTGAAGCCACATAATTCATGTCAAGCACACTAACTGTTTGGCATAAAAATTAATTATGTATGTCAATATATTAACTCATCGATATACAGCTCGCATAAACAGCATTAGTAACATTATTACATCCCCATCACAAATATGACAGGAAATAAATGCAGTACCTGAACTTTTTGTAGGCCATCTGCAGAATCTATTACAACTCTTCGATCCAAACACACACCACTTCCTGATTCTGAGCACTTATTGAAGTACTGCCGTGCAATTTCAACTTCACCGAGCAGAAGATGGCAACTAACATAAAAAACAGAAGCATATTTAGATTATACAACACATTAAAATAGCCATGCATTGCAAGAGCAACAACACATACACAATACAGCATAGATATGCATGAAACTTTTTCAACAATATAAGCTTTGGACAATATTTATTAAGTGAGGGTAAGCGAGCCACAATCCATTTCCATATGGCTCGGAAAATAATCAAATTACCTCAAAGAAATAAAATAAAATGACAAACAGAATCACCATATCAGTTAAAGAATATTCACCAATGCAACTCGAGTGGGCTGAAAGGCTAACCAAGCTCAACCTGAGATGTGTTTTCTGGTTTTAAACCAGGGAACAACCCACTAAGGTTGCGATGAACTCAACCTCATCTCAATCCGTCAGTAAACTTATTAGCCAGGGTTGCCGAAATGGTGAGGTTGAGTTTAACACAACACGAGTTCATAAAAGCAAATCCAATCGTTAAAAAACATTTGTGTAAACATAAATCAACAAAATCAAGAGTAAAATCATCCAAGACTAGTTACACCAATTCAACATCTGACAAAAGTTCCACAACATTAAATATATCATATAGCTTAAGATACTAGTTGATATGTGCATATAATATATGAATGCATTAAATATTTTATCGGGTTGGGTATTGAGTTCAAATCAGGTCGAGTCTCAGGTTCTATGTTTGGATATTCTAGGTAGTGAATTCGAGTGAACTCTGGTTGAACTCAGGTTATTCAATCCCCAAATTCGAGCTCAACCTAGATTTGATTAGGGTGGCATTTTCCAACCCAAGCTTCACTAAAGCTCTCTCTAATCTGCTCATATGGGCTCAAATGGAATACAATAAATTCATAATTTGTAGGCATACAAATGGAATACTCACTTAGCAGCCCTCATTTGAACTTTGAGAAAGTTGGGATCTAATGCAGTAGCCATCACACAGTCCCCTAAAGCTTCCCTTATCCTTACAAGAACCATTCTTGTTGCAGCACGGTTGCTATAGCATAGCAAAAGAGGCTTAAGGCAGCATCCTGATCGTTCATTAGAAGGTATAGAAATTATTCCCCGTGTGTAAAAATCTTCAGCTTTTGAAAGATCTCCATTTTTATAAGCTTCGTTTCCCCTGACACAACCAAATCCTTACACGTGTGAGAAACATAAGAATCATCTCCAATGAAACATATAACAAATAAAAATTGTTGTAAAACATAAAAGATAAAAACTCGTCGTAAAAGTATAATGCAAGGAGCACCTGATCCGCCATTTCTCACAGGTTTCATGAGTAGCAGCACTAGAAGAGATATTCACTTGCTTAAATTGTTCATTTGCTTCAGATTTACCAACTACATCTGCAGATAAAGTTTCCTTAGAGTGGAGGGTAAATAGGTCAGAAGATCCAAACTCAACATTCGGACTTGGAGTTATAACAAACGTCTTGTGACCAACTTTCATCCTATTTTTCTTTCTACGCTGTTGGCGCTTTGCCATCATTGAGCTACCTTGAGCAGAAGATGATGCCAAAAATGTGAAGTATTTATCTTTCATATTTTCAAAACCTGAAGCAAAAAGTGGTGTTTTACAATCACTTTCTTGTCTCTCTATATTTAAGCCAATGCCAACTCTAGCTTCTTCTGAATCCAAACCAGAACCACTGATACTACTCACATGCTCACTTTTGGAACTAAAGCAGGGAGTTTCAGGTTCAGCTCCAGAACCAGACCCTTTCCACAAAAAATCGTGGAAAAAGATTTTCTCACTATGATACCTCGTATTCTCCTCAATGGGCTGTTTACATATCTGATCACCTCTGTCATCCAACCCACTTCCTGCAGCAACCAAATCTTCACCTTTAGGATCAGCAGGAACTGTTGCATTGGAGGCACAGGTTGCACTATCGTTGACTAGGTGGTTTGAGTCAGTAGAGGTCACAGAAGTTTCCCTTGAATGTGGATCAGCAACTCTTGTTTCCTCATAGGGAGAAAAATCCATGGGTGAGTAACATCCAGAAGGGTCTGGGTTTCCTTGGGAACTACTTTCCTTGGGCACATGACCTTGAACTGGCCATTGCTTACTCAGCTTCGACTTTCCCCTTTGTTTCCTTGATCTTTTGTCCCTAAATGACCTACCCTTCACACTGAACTCCGAAGTTTTATTTAATTCAGGAAAAATATTTGATCTAAGACAGGAAGGATCCAAAAATGACGTTTTCAAGTGCTCAAAGCACACTCCAAAACCATCTGAAGTGCCAGTAGAACTATTTTCATCTTTCTTTCTTACTCCACCCACAGATGCTGCTTCAGAAACACAACCATTGGTTTTGATGCCAGGACCAATTGATGAGGATGAACATGGTGCAGCAGCTACATTTGGGTGTGTATTATTATTAATTGGATAATGAGAAAACTGTCCTGCCTCAACACTCTCATCACTTCCTGCCTGAGATGTTAATTTTTTGGAACCAGAAATTCCTAGAGTGGCATCCTCCGTGTTTCTATCACTTCCAAATAAGATATGGTTCTGGTCACTACTTTCATCATTATCTCCATTATTTTTCTCTGAGGCAACATAAGGACCTCCTGAACACTGACCACAAGAATTACTTTCTGAATTGGTCTTGCAATCTCCTAAATTTTCACTACTCAGTTTCATTTCATCTTGACACTTCGTGACCTTGCATTCAGTCAAACTGGAACCTTTCTTAGTGCTGCTTCCAAATACAAAAAAGCCCTTATCATGATCTTTATTTGAGATGCAATGCTCCTCGGCATGAAATTTAAAAGGATCAGCTTCCATTTTCTCAAACTCTGTTTCACTCTCTACTTTCATCTTCCCACCAACAACATCAGGAGCCAACTTTTCCAGTTTTCCACTAGAGCTTTTCTTTCCTGAATTCAAGGAATTCCCACTAGAACCAAACACGAAACCCATATCATTGTACTTCTTTTGCTCAGCTTCATTACCAATTTCTGTACTGCCAATACCATCACAACCTGGTGTCCCCTCATTTTCACTGTGTTCTCTGTTTCCTGTATTTGAAGTAGACCCAAAATCATCTGAGCCAGTAGCAAACACAAAACTTGCAGACTCCCCATTTTTGGCATTCAACTTCGGAGCTGAATCTCTTTGACTAGCTCCAAGCCCAGAACCCACATTATACCCTACTTCACTCTCTATTTTCATTTTTCCACTATTATCTGCGCTCGGTTTCTCCACATATCCACCACATACTCTCATTTCTTGATTCGAATCCAACTTCAAATCTGAACTCAAACCACTGCTGTTAGCACTAAACACAAAACCCCGGTTATCACCCTTCTGACATTCTGTTTCAGTCTCTGTTCTTTCATTCCACTTATCTTCAGAAACGATCGCTCTAACATTTTCACAAAATTCTCTCTTTTCCTGACACAAACTAGATCCCAGACCATCCTGCTTTGCACTACACTCATAACAAACACTCTCCAGCTTATCAGACTCTCTTCCATTCCCAGTATTCACCTGCCCCCTCTCATCACAACTCTCTCCCTCCCCATTATGCAAATTATCGTCACAACTCGAATTTCTCATTATTTCACTACTCCCTCCCTCCCCACTATCCAAATTTCTCACTATTCCACCACTCCCTCCCTCCCCATTATCCAAATTCTCATCACCACCAATCTTTCTAGCACCAAACACAAAATCCACACCCCCACAATCACCATTAGAAAAATTAAACCCATTGGAAGAACTAGTACCATCACTTACCAAGCAAAACGGGTTGACCCCCGGCCCACTCTCACCCGACCCAGTTCTTGACCTCGAATGCTGCTTCCTCATCTTCACAAATCTCGGCCGAGACCGACCCGATCGCGACGGCACACTCGGACCGAACTGACACTGACTTCCATTGTCGTTTGAAGCACCGAGGTTAAAGGTGGGAGAGGACGCCATGTCGGGTACAGGGTTAGGGTTTTCAGGAGTAGAGGAGGATTTGGTCGGTATAGAGGTGATCGGGGAGCGAAAATCCACTGCCGCCGGCGACATTCCGACCAAGCCTGAAATAAAAATTTAGGGTTTTGGAATTGCTAGGGATTGGTTTCCTGTGAATATATATAAATATATATTGATAAATACTTTTGATATTTAGGGTTTTGCTGGGTTTAGAAGTTATAGAGTGAGAGTTGTTTATGTTTGTTGACAAAGAGAAGAAGAGGGTTTTTATTTGGTCGGGGTTTCGCTCTCTCTCCTCTTTCTGGCTCTCTTCTATGCTTCGCAGACTTCATAAGAGTGAAGTTAAAAAGAAAAGAAAAAAGGATGGTGGCTTTCTTGAGGAAGGAATTTAAATTTGGTGACGTGGTCACTTTCCTTTTGGTCCGCGCCTTACTTTGCTTCTTTCTATTGCTTTTGTGAAACCAATACTAGGACCCAAAAAAATATTATACTATTTTCTTTGAACATTCTGAATGTGAGGTGGGCATCTCATGTGAATTATCCACGTACCAACCCTACTGTATTGATAGGTTGGTTTGGTTTGATTAAATATTAAATATTTAATTTTATTTATTTCAATTCGATTTGTACCAAAATGTTTGATTTTGTTAACGAGTAACAATATCCCTAACTCGATAGAAATCCGTACCGATCTGATATTTATAATTATTTTATTTTTTATATGCTAATATATACATGTCAACTTACTAGTGGCCTATTGACTTGTAAATACAAAACTATGATTGGTATGAAGTCAATTGCTCATTTGCCTTGTCCTCATTGCCAAATCCTAAAACACATGAATCTTCTATAATAGACAACGTATATTCATTGATCATGGTTTCAAATTTTTTGAGGTAAACAAAGAAGAAAGCCAAATGCATGATTACACTATAGAAAATGCATGGTTACATTATAAACACAAACAAATGCGTGATCTTGTGTCCTTATTTGTGTTCCGTTGTATACGAAAGTTACTTCTGAATTCATATAAAGACATCACATATGATCCCAAGTAGCTCGCTCGCATTAATAAATTACAGCTTTGTATATGATCAATTAACCTATCTCATCATACCTCTCTCACGACATAACATTCCATGTCCTTGATATGGTAATAGAGTTTTAGACAATATATAGTGTATATGTATGTAATTTTCATAATATATATAGTGTATATGTATGGTAATCATATTTGGGTTGAAGATTATTAGGCCTCTTCTCTTAATATTATGTATTTTTAATGTTCGTTTGTAACTTTAAAACTAAGGGAAGGGGGGGTATTAAGGGCCAGTTTGGCATTGCTATACTGTGAAAATAATCGTTGTCAGATTTGTTATGAGAGAAAGCAGTTTTGGCATTTGGTAAACTTTTTTTTAAAAGTGTTGTTGGTACAATAATCAGTTTCTAAGTGTTTGGTAATTTTTTTTTATGAAAGTGTTGTGAGTTTTGTATAATGACTAAAAAAGGCATTATGTTGAAATGACTTTTCTGTTAAAGTGTTTGATAAAAGGGAAAGCATTTTCACTTTCACTTATATTTGTTTTTGTGTGTATTAAATATGTTTCCATCACACCCTAAAAATTATTTTAATTATAAAATAAATAAAGTATTATGTTGAAAATTAAATATTTGTATCCAAATGCTCTAAACTAATATTTCAAGTTAAATCCAATATATTTCATTAAGGGTTAATGACCTAAATGGTCCCCCAACTATTGCTCCAGTATCATTTTAGTCCATCAACTAAAATTTTCATTTCAAATGTCCTTAAACTTTTTATTTTGTACCAAGATGGTCCATCCGTCAAAGTCTGTGTATTATTCCATGAAATTGAGGGACAAAACCGTAATTTTAAGTGAGTATCCTCCTGTAAAACGACCAAGCCAACGTAAGAATGCATTCCCTCCCAAAAATCCTTTATGCTCCACCGCCTAGACGACGACGTTCTAGTCGACTTGCCTTTCGACCAATTAAAAAAAAACTAGGAGGCCAATGCTTGCTCCTAACCCCACTGCCTGTACACTCCTCACATACCTATTCCTCCAAATTCACAACTTGGCGGCCGCGCATTCCGGGGCAGGTGAGGTGAAAGTTGCGCTTGCAACCATCGTAGCTAACCACTTGGTCATGAACCTCACACTTGCCGTAGAAGGAGCTATCAAAGCCGCGAGCTGAGTCGAGAACACCGAAACAGAGAGACCGGTTTTGCAGCCATGGAAATGGGAAATTGCTTGGATAAGGGCATACGACGTCATAGGAATTAGAAGGGGTGGAGGCAGTGGTGGACCCCATGGCAGCCATGGAAATGGGCTTGAAGGTTCTTGTTTGCTAGTGATGCAACTTTGAGTTCCCACCAGTTGCTCGACAGAAGTCCAGAGGGAGAAAAGGGTTTTTGTTGAGATTTAATGGATCAAAATCTTTGGAATTCAGCCTTTTTGTGAGGCCATCAAGTCATTGAGGATCTGTGCTGGGTAAGGAAATGGGAGGAGTTGCATTTTGGGGATGGTCGAGGAAGACTAGATTTGGGTAGGGTGGGTTGTTTTTCTTTTTCTTTATAGCTTTTTGTTATTTTATTTTTGTATTTATCTGACTTTTTAAATTAATTTAAATATTTGAGAATTTTTTATATTCATTTTTAAGTCAATCTCAACATTGAAAAAAATTTTAAAAAAAGAAGAAGAAGAAGAAGCCATGTCGTTGGTGAGTGGACTACAGTTGGTGGTGAGATTCAAAATTTTCAATTTTCTAAGTTTTTTCTAAGTTTTATAATTGGTTTCTAATTTTTAATTATTTAGGCAATATTTTAATTTATATGGACAATTTTACCAGTCGATTTCACGGAATAATACACAGACTTTGATGGATGGACCATCTTGGTACAAAATAAAAAGTTTAAGGACGTTTGAAATGAAAATTTTAGTTGGTGGACCAAAATGATACTAGAGCAATAGTTGGGGGACCATTTAGGTTATTAATCCTTTCATTAAAAATAAATATTCTATCAAAGAAACAAAGAAACAAAAATAAGAACCCAAAAAAAAAGAAAAAGGATCAACTACAGTAAACCCCAAACCTATAGGGGTGATTACAAACTCATACCCAACCTTTGTTGACCTGTTTGACCAATTACTGAACTTTTTGAATCCTTTCATAAAACACCCTCTGTCACTCAGTCCGTTAGGAACCTCATTAAGTGGTGAGGTAGCATTGTCAACGTGGATTTTTTTGATGATGTGGACCAATTTAAAAGGTCACTTTTTGACTTGAGCCATTCAAACAAAATAAAAGGTCTCTGAGCCCTAAAATCGTTGAATCCCTAATTTCATCACCTCCATTTTTTTTTCCACTTCATACAAAGATAGAGGTGCCAAAGTGTTGTTGTGGTAAGCGAGCTCAAGAGTTCACTTCCTAGACTAATGTGAACCCTAGGAGACGTTTCTTTGAACGTGTGAAGCATGGGGTAAAAGATTTGAGTTTTGTCTTTTTGAATTTATCTTCTTTTTTGTTGTTGTTATGGATCTAGGTTAGAAAGTTATGTGAGTTTGATGTAATGTACAGAGAGGACAAGGGTGCAACTTCTTTCATTGGATTGATCCCCGAATGTGTGAAAGGTTGAGGACTGTTATTCCTGGGTTGCTAAGAAAGGTGAAAAAACATGAGGAGTTGCAAAGAAAAGTGGCGACAAGAGGGAGGGTTATGTGGATAGTGCTGCTGGGTTCATGGGTCACAGTTTTGGTGCTTTTGTTGGTGTTGTTTGGTGGGGGCTCGAAAAAGCATGTACCTAGCAAAAATGTTAGGCTAGAACTAGAATTTTAGGCTTTATCTTAGTTATTTTTTTGCAAAGGGTGTTTGTATAATAACATTGTAATGAAATGTAATTTATGTCATATTTGTAATGAAGTTGTAAACCTGTACATTTTGAAATGAGAGAAGTAGAGTTGATAATGCAAGTGTGAAATGAAGTTGAAAATGTAAACCTTTACATTTTGAAATGAAGTTGTAAATCTTTACATTTAGTAAATTGTTTTAAAATATGCAGGTGTGAAAATGCAAGTGTCAAAATACATAAGTTGGCATCTCAAAAGGATAACCATTCCCATATCAAAATATACCAAATCAAAGTTGAAATCTCAAAATATACCAAATCAAAGTTGAACATAACTTTTCCCATATCAAAATGTACCAAATCAAAGTTGAACATAACTCTTCCCATCTCAAAATATACCAATTCATAGTTGAACATAACTCTTCACATATCAAAATATACTAATTCATAGTTGAATATAGCTATTTCCATCTCAAAATGCAAGTAAAGTACAGTTCAACATGAGCCAAAAAAAAGAAGTAAAGGTATGGCTTCGTTTCACTTTTCCTTGCACAATTATTTCCTTTTTCTTTCGTTAGTTATGGGTTGACTTGATCCTTCTCCATGGGTACTTGTTACTTTGCTGGTCTACAAAACAAAAAGGTGCAGTTGATGCTAGTTCATACTTAGAACCACCACATGTGCAGTTAAATGAATACCACATTTATTGTTACTAACTTGGGTGGGTGCCTACATTGAATTCTTTGATTTAGAGCTTTTTGTCCTCACTGCAATTTGTTCAACTGAGGGGTTTGATTCATGTATACATCAAACAATTGTATAAGCACAGTTACCATGCTTACCACACAATTGTATACATCAAATAACATACTAGGGTTTAAAGGCTTACATTTGGAGCTTCTCTAATTTTCTTCCTACCCCTTGCAGCTTTTCTTTTTGTCTTCCCGTTGGAGCTAGATGCTTCTCTAGTTTTCTTCGTTTACTTAGGAGGGAGATGCCTGTGATGAGTCCTACTATTGTGACATTCTTCTCCACAATGGCTACACCTCATAGCAATGCCCTATTTTCCAAGCCATTTCTTCCTCCCTTTGTCTGTTTTCTCCTCAGTCTTGTTTCTTTGGTCTTCCTAATTCTCTATTGTATGAAGGTGGCTTGACAGCTTCATGCACAGACCTCGTCCACAACTTCATACTTAAGAGACTTAATTGTGTTGTTGAATGACTCACACAGGTTGTTGATTAGCATGTCATATTTCACAGCTGAGTTATAATTAATGTGATTTAGACCAATGTTGTAGAGGCTTAGTCACCAGCCACTCCTAGGCCCTAACATCAAGAGTCTTTAGATGATCTATGCACCTCCGATATTGCTCAACTACAGTGGCTCTTGCACAAACCTGGTATATGTTCTTAAGTGCCTTGTCCTTGTACAGTTTATGTAGTTGTTGAATAGATGCATAGCACAAAAACAATGCTTAGCATTAGGTACTATATCTTCAAATGATCCAGGCAATCCTTTTTGTCTGTCAGAAATAAACGACCACTCATGTGAGTTAACAATTTCAACATTAGTAGCTAGCAGTTCAAGGAACCAAGTCCAAAAGTTCATTGTTTCCATCTCCACCGCTGCATAAGCAATGACTTAAGTCTCATTGTTTGATTCTAGCCCAATGGTTGTCAACAATTGTTCCCCATAGACTCCCTTCAAGTAACAACCATCTAACCTAATTAGAGGTTTACAACGTTCTTTGAACCCCTTTTTACACCCTCCTAAACAGGCATAAAGTCTTTGAAATATTGCATCCTTGCCATTGAAATCACACTTAATTTTCATAGTGGTTCCCGAATTAGTTTTCTTCACATCTTCACAATAGTCTCACAACTTGCTATATTATAAAGCCACAGTTCCCTCTATCAAATGAAGAGCAGCTCCTTTGGCTCTATAGCACCTCATGTGTGAAACACCAACAACCTATTCCTTAGCAGCAGCATCTAGAAGTGATTTGGTGGAATTTGAGGATTGGATTGAATCCTATCAATGAAAGTGTCAGTTATCCATTTGGTGGTGGCTTGTTTATTCTTCCAAACCCTACTACAATTATGGTTGGGGTTATAAATATTCACAACCAATGTTTTATCCACAAAACTCTTAGCATATACATATACATGACATGGGCATAGGTCTTCCTTACAGCAAACCTATATCTCATTCCTCTTAAAATACACATCATTTGCATGCTTCAAGCAGTGTGCTTTAACTGCCTCTCTAAACACATGACAATCAAAAACATCATGCCTAACTCAAATTGTGGATCATGGTTGTCTGTCTCAGGATTGTATTATGTAAACCTCTTAGTCGAATCACCTTCTTCCCTATTTGATGCAGCCCACAACTCAGCATTGATATGATCACCTTCTTCTATATCTTCCAGTGGCTTAAAATCATTGCAAAAAAAAACCCCTCATGTCCAGTTCTTCCTTGTTCAGACCTAATGACATCATTCTTAGTTCTATTTCCATCTTCCTCAGGCCCAGGTCCACCTTCAAGATGATCATTTGCACCTTGATCAGGCTCACCTTGTTCAGGCCCATTTGTAGCTTCAGTTCTGGCTTCACTTGCAAATTCACATGTAACTTGGCCTCGTGTATTTGTAAATGAAATACCATCCTGCCAATCATCTCCAACTAAGATATTTAGATCAATATCATCATTCTCATGCATTACATACCCAGTATCTACCAATCCAGAGTCGCTAGAAGGATAACCATCAGATGAATCAGACCAATTAGATGGTTCTGTTACAATTGCCTTTCCTTTCCCAATTCTTCTCATATCCCTTACTAATGCCTCCTCATTTCCAGTCACATTTCTAGTCTCAACGCCAGTCTCACAGCCACTTTCAACCCTAGTGTCAACTCCAGCTTTGCTTGTCTCAACTGTAAAATTGGATTGAGATTCTTTACATTTAAGGAAGTCTTCAACGTCACAGTCTAAATGCTCTAGATATATCTCAATCTCCTTACATTATGGAACTAATGCATACATATCTACTACATCTTCATCATACTGCAGCAAGGTGAGAGAGTTTGAATGCCCAGATAACTTATAATGATATAGTATAATCCCTTCCAAATAACCTAATTCCTCAACCATATAACCTATTTCAACCATAGACAATCTATCTTTATCAACATAATCAAAATATGCAATATCACCTTGTCACTAAATCTGCCCCCGTGATACATGGTCACTGTAAACATATTAGGATCACCTGAAAATATCAAAATGTACATGCAACTAGACAACATATATACAATAGTATTCATTAGGACCACATAAGTCATTGCATTAACTATACATAGTGGCAAAAACACTCATTTCAGTATCAAATGGAACCCAAACCATAAAAGGGAAAAACATAAACTAATGGGAACAACATAAACAAATGGAAAAACCAGAAATAGTCAAACCAAAACCTAAAAGGGTAAAATCATAAACGAACAAAGCCAAAAGCAATAGAGCACAACATCGACAAACACAACCCAAAACCAAGCCTTACCATTCGAAACTTACAAATACAACGCACAAATCCAATATCACTAATTGAAATTGACTGTACTCTTGTCTCACTTTTCCTCAAGGTCTGGTACACCAAGCCATCACTGACAACAACTCAACCTATCAAGATTCGATTCCCTTTACCTCTATGATCCACAAGAATCGAAGGCTTTTGGTAGTAGAAAGAGGAGTTCTTTTTACTATACTATGTAGATGAATCGAATATTTAGGTTTAATTTGGGGATTTGGGCTTCATCGTCTTTAGGGATGGCAATACATGCAACTGCATTTGGGCTCGAATCCGATGTGGCAACCTCCAACTTTGAGCCGCCATGGTGACCTTTTAAATTGCTCCATGTCATAAATAAATAAAAAAATCATGTCGACAGCACCACCTCATCACTTAATGAGGTTTTGATGAACTTAGTGACGGAGGTTGTTTTATGAAAGGATTCACACAGTTCATGTATTGGTCAAACAGATCCACAAATGTTGGGTATGAGTTTGTAATAACCGCTATAGGTTGGGGAATTTACTGTAGTTGATCCAAAAAAAAAAAAAAAAAAAAACAATCAACAACTATTGAAGTTAAAAACCCCATAAATGAAAGAGACAATGAAGAATGAAATTTATAATTAAAACCCTAGAAATTAAAGAGAAAGAGGGAAGAATGAAATTGAGAAGAAAATATGCCTCTGACCTGAGTCTTGTGGCTTCTCAGGAGTGTGCTTCAATTGATTTAACAAGAACAGATAATAAGAAGAATAGAAGAGATCAAGAGAATGAGAACTCTGTGAAAGAGATGGCGTAAAGAAGCAAAGGGATGCGAAGGAGAAAACGCATGAAGAGAAGAGATTGCGTGAAATAGATTGGGGTATTTTCAGAAGTTTGTAAATTTCGTTAAAACCAACGCCTCTTAGAAACTAATTCCCGCATAATCAGAAAATGAAAGCACCTCATTAACTGTTTTCCCTTGTAGTTTTATCTCACAACAATTTTTAACAATATGTGATTTTCTCATAGTTTACCAAACAGGTTGGGCTTCCCAATTTTTTTTATAAAATCACTTGTCACCCCAAATAAGCAATACCATGCGGGCATTAAGACTATTATGATTTTTAAAAGAGAGTATCCAAATCTAGTGGTATTCAATCAAGACTTTAAACAAGTAACAAAAAGTCATTTGGTATTCAAAAACTTGCTAATTTCGAAAGATTTTTTTAAATGTGGAAGTGTGTGAGACTTTTTAGTGGGAGCTATAAATACCAAACCCTATCTCAAATCCCACCCTAACCCATTAAACTTTTCACGTAAGATTTTTTTGTCTACTAGAGAAGATGAACATATATGTATTGAGCTCTTCGTAAACAAGTTACTTCTTGCTTCAAATCATCTTGTGCTAATCTTCTTGCCTTGTTGTATTATTTATGATTAGTAAGGTACAAATAGATGTTGTCGTATATTATCTATTTGCTATATGTCATGGGTTTGATTGTTTATGAAACTATGGCCCCTCTCAAGGATGCTGGAGGTCCTTTTTTTTTATTACCCAAAAACGAAGTGGGGTTGTACTCTCCACATCGATTCATATCTGCGTACCGATACATATCTAGTCATTGTGTTTTTTTCTTAGTCCATAACTGCTTACCGATACATATCTGTTTGGTTGTGTTTTTTTTTTCTTGTAATACCCAATCTGTTTTCTTTTCAAGAAGATGATGTATTCCATAGTTATTTTCAGTTTGCAATATCGGGTAAGAATTTAGGGCTTGTTGTATCATAATTATTTGGTCCGCAACATGTTCGTTTTTTACGGCTAAATAGTATCATAATTGGCCTAATTGTTGAGGGCCTGTCAAGTTTGAAAGCAGAACCATTATAATGTAGTCATGTGATGAATGATCAATTAGGTTGTTTTAGCAAATGTTTTGTCATTGGATAAGTACAAGTTTATCAATTGATATTAGACTGGTGTTGGCTGTTTTATTAGTAAGTCTAATTGCCTTTTTATTACTTTGGTTATTAGATTGGTGCTAGCTGTCATGTAGAAAATGCTTAAATATGTTTTTCTTGGTTCTGCTTTTGTTGTTTAATTGCATATGTTGTCTCGTTGTTCTCTTGTAATCCTAGTGGTGTAACGAAACAATAATCAAACTAGGATAACTCTAAACTATTTTCATCATGTTTTCTTTAATACCAAAAGTTATAGGGAAACCACTTGATTTATTCTGCAAATTGATATTTCTTCGATATTCCTCTCATTTACTGTTTTAATGGCAGAGACTTCAGAAGCTCGTATTACTTGTTGGAGCTTGTTTATGATCACTTATCATTACAATTTGTAAGTGTAATTCATTACAAATTATTAATGGATTTTCATTATGCTTTTGCTAGTTTTCTGGTAGTTATATTTGTATGTTTCCTAGTTATTACATATTTTGTGTTTCACCAAATAGAATTTCATGTATCTTATACCGTTTGATAATTTCTTTGGCCTTTCATATTTATTGTGCTAACATCCTTATTTTTGTACTAAAGTTAGAAGGAAAATAGAAAATAGGAAACATTAGTGAAATTCTTTTCTTTTCTTTTCCTGTTTGGTATGATACGGATTCTTATAAGACATCTCATTTGAAATAATTAATAAATTGTTTTACATGCGTTATAGTACTAATTTAAATGGGGGATTCACAACAAGAAAATAGCAAAGGAAAAGGCAAAGGTTCTGAGAGCTATGAATCCGGGACTATGGACGATACCAATGAGTTGTTACACCTCTTAGTGGATGCTATCAATAGTGGATTGCGTGATGCTAATGGGACACTTAGCAAGCAAAATGTAGAAATAGAGATACTTCCTCTCTTAATGTGAAAATTAGGTTTCCAAAAACTTACAATCATTATTTAAGCTGAATGAAGTGGTTTAAGAGGCAATATGACAAGATATCTACACTTATGCGTAACAACTCTGGCTTTGGGTGGGACCCAAGTGCAAAGACGCTCACTCCTAGTGATGAAGTATGGAAAAATTACTTGAAGGTAAGCTTAGTTCATAATCTTTTAAATATATTAATAGCTTACTATTTTAGTTTAACATGTTATTTGAAATATATTAATAATGAATAATTTGTTTTTTGTTAGTCCCACCCAAGTCACAGTAAACTTCGGGAAAGTAGTCTAGTTGATTATGAGGATTTGAAGATTGTCATTAGGGGTGGAACTGCTACTGGCAATGGCTCGATTGCATAAGGAGTTAATTGGTGGATTTGACTGCTGAAGCATAGTAGCTTTGGGCGTCAAGTTTGTCGCCGCGCACTATGCCTGTGCCATAGGACGTAGGGAATTTCAGCAGCAGCATTTGTGTGGAAATGAAAACCTTCATTTGGGCCATGGCAGGGTGCCCAAGGATGACATTGTAGGCTATTGGGCAGTCAATAATGAGGAAGGGAGTGGTGACCGTCGCCCGCGAGGTTGCTGCTCCAATAGAAATAGAGAGATGGATGCTTCCAATGGGCTGGACAACATCACATGAAAAGCTCACCAGGGGTGTGATGCTTCGGTCAAGCAAGTAAGACGGGATCTGGAGCTCGTTGAAAGCATCAGCAAACATCACACTAACCGAGCTGCCAGTGTCCACCAAGATACACCAAACATCGAAGTTAGAAATGTTGGCGCGGATAATGATTGGGTCATCATGGGGGAGAATGACACCACACTCCTCTTCCTCACAGAAGGTAATGGGAGCCCAGCCTAATTTTTGTGTTTTCGGCAGGCGTCCTTGCTCAGTGCTGAAGACCTAGTGCACATAGGTGGAGCAGACATAATGTTTGATGGAATTGTTGGAGGTTCTAGCCATGGTAGAACCACCATTTATGGTTGAGATCATGTTAATCTGCTTTTGGTGAGAGTTAGGTGGAGGGGTGGGGAGATGGTACACATATTTGTCTAGCTTGCCCTCATGGATGAGGCCTACAATGATGTTGCGCAAGGCAACACAAGATTCGGTATCGTGGCAACCGAACTGATGAAAGCGATAGAAGACACCCCTGTTGGGCATAGGCTTGCTGCCTGGTCTCTAGAGGGGCTTGGGTATGATAGGTGCCTCATGCACCAGGACATTCTCGTAGGTGGTGTTGAGGGTGATGAATACCTCAAACCTAGGCTTAGGTGTGAAGGGGAGTGGAGCCCAATCACTTGTCTTGGGAGGGTTGTTCCCACTAGGCTGGTGGTGGTTACCATGTCTGCCACACTTGCTGTTGATGAAGGTATATTGATAGCTATCCTTCCTTTTGGGGTGCTGGGTACTTGGTGTGAGGGCAGAATGTTGAGGTGGGACTAGGGTGGGTACTGAAACAGATGAAGGATCAGCAAAAGTGTTACGCGCCGGGGTGGTTGGGCCACGCTTGGAATTGAAGTACTCAGCCTTGGCGTGAATTGCTGCCTGCTTCATTAGTTTAGCATATGTGTTCCAAGGGTTGTTGTGGACTAGGTACAGGAAGTTCGACTCGCAGAGGCCACTATTGAAAGCACCGAAGGCAGCGCGGTCATCAGTCTCTGGGCAGCAAGAGTATTTGTGGCTGAACTGGGCTGCATACTCCCGAAGTGGCTCGTCCTCACTTTGTCGAAGCATGTACAGGTCGTCGGTAGAGTACAAGCGATCAGTCTGGATCATGAAATGGTACAGGAAGGCATGCTTCCGACTATCAAATGAGTTGATAATGCGGGGGTTCAGCCTATAGAACCAATTCAGGGTCGCGCCATTGAGGGTGGAAGGGAAGAGGAGGCGCATGCCTTCGTCAATGAGGCTCTTGCACCCCAGGGCAGACTGGAAAGAATGTATGTGGGTGAGAGGATCCTCCATGCCAGTGTAAAAGGCGATGCGGAATGGCTGGATGTCTTTCTTGTGGTGGTAATTAAGGATGCGTTCAGTGAAGGGCCCGAGTCGTGGCTTCGCCCAGAGAGGATGATGACTGCGGTGTTGCTCATTCTCCAAACGTCGAACCTTCGCGAAGAGAAGCCTTATGGCCGGGTCGGCATGAGGGAAGGGCTCGGGTGCTGAAGGCTTGAGGTGTGGGTGGTCAGGGGGTTGGGTAAGGTTCATGTTCTTCGAACGCCTCGGTGTGATAAGACTCGTAGTCTTCTGAATAGTACTGTCCCTAGTTCTCCAAGTCACCTGCACCTTTCCTAGCTGGTAGGTGATTGGGCTTCAGTGAGGGGCCTAGGTGTGCCATCCTTGGGTCTTTGGGCTTAATAGATATAAGGATAGCGGCTATATGACGATCCAAGGTACGGTCCCTGCAATCCTTGTAGTCCTTCACCGATTCATGGGGCCGGTTCTTCGATGGGGAGATATGAAGGAGCTGCGACCTAGTTGTCTATGGGTAAAGAGGGCCTTTACCCTTGCCGAGCCTAGGCTGGACCAGGGCACTGTGGTGAGAAGACACTAGCTGGCTTGGCTGTGTGTGGTCAACATCCTGGGTAAACTCAAGTTGGGAACCCGGGGCCTGCACCTTCTCCCAATTACGCTTCAGGGTGTGGTAGTCATGCTCGAGCTCAACATTATTGGCATGAAGATGGTCGTATTTCTCGGATATCTTGGTAACACTAGCGCGGAGGAGCTCCACCTCTACCTGAAGATTGACATCTGCCGAAGGTTTCCTTCGGGAGGTACCCTCGCGGGGGGTATGGTGCGGAGTGTCGCGGCTATCCTCGGTCGGCATAGCTGAATGTGGGGTAAAGAAAAGACGACGGGGCCTGATGGGAGAAGGAGCTAGCTGGGCTGGTAGAGAGAAATGGGATTCAATTGTCAAATTCCCACAGACGGCGCCAAACTGTTGATGCTCTTTTTCGGAGAGGGTCAACTTAGGAAAAAGGGGTTTTGCCTTCAGCGGTGGAGAAAATGCAAACCTTCGACAAGGGGCTAGCCTGCAGAAGACAAAGTGGGAGAAGCAATCGTTAAGCTTCGGACACCGGTGTGGTGTCGGCCGAAGGCTCTCCGATACTTAAGTCAGCTAAGAGTAGTAACTTTGGCAGAGTAACAGTAAAAGTAAGAAAGTAGTTACCCTTTTTATTGGGATACTGTTTCTTATTTATAGGGAAGTGAAAGTGAGTAGTTTGCATAGAATTTCGATGTGGGACTTTGTATAAGTCGCTGTAGTGGTGACACGTGTCTTGGAGATTAGGTTCGGCAGTATGAGAGCTTCGGCAGTCGAGAGCTTCGGCAGGTGTCTGGCACCTTGGAAGAGTGTCTTCCTTTGGCAGGGGAGGAGGCGTGTCTGCCTTGATACTAGTTGTTTTGAGGCTGGATATGCTCGGTTGATTATGGTGTAAACAATACTGGTGCAGCAACTTATGGGATTTAAAGATTTCAGGATGAAAGACTTTCTAGACAATCTTTCGAGTATGAAGGGAGTTCTAGCTCAGTTGGGACCAACAATCAAGCCAAAGTTCTAGACAATCTTTCTATTCGCATTGAGACTATTTCTGTCAATTTTGAAAGAATATCTAACTTCACAGAGAAAAAGACAGAGATAGAAAGCTCAATGAAATAGAGAAAAGAGAAAGATTGAGAAAGAATAATATTTGGGAGGCTATAAAAGAGATACCAAATTTGGATGACAATACTCGTTACATGGAGGGTGATTTGTTTAATACTAAGGCAAAGAAAGACTTGTTCTTAAAGATGTCACCCGAAAAGCGCTCATCTTGGATAAACTTCAAGTTAGGATGATTTAGTATTTTGATCATCTTGGGTTTTGTTAAACTATATTTTTGTTTGTGCTACTTTGGTTATACTTTGGTTGAACTATTTGGGTTATAATTTGGTTAAACTATTTTGGTTGTACTTTGGATTAGTATTTTGGTTGTTTTGATTGAACTAATTGAATAATTTTGATGATATGTTCTTAACTTATTAATCTTTTTTATTTTTTAAATACAATGCCATAGCATTTCCAGATTCATTATTTTAAAGGCTCCTTGTCAATTGATGGTGTATTGGTACTATTTTCTTCTATTTATTGTTTTGTAGCCTCATATATTTTTATATATACACGTATAATGTCACAACCAAGCATGTATGAAGGTAATAATATAAAGGAAGAAGAAATTGATGACAAAGAAATAGGTGAAGACAAAATAGACTAAGAAGATATGGATGGCAAAGATATGTATGATGAAGAAATAGATGAAAAATTTTATGAAGCCATTTACATATTAGTGATGGAAATTTATGTAGTAATACATGTGCTAATTCAGTTTTTTTTAATATGATGCATGGTGAACATATTAAACATCCACTAACTCAATGGCGAATTACTAGCATTGGATATAACTATATACATCAAGCATTAAATGATGATCCTGCAATCTTCCGACAAGTATATAGAATGTATCCAGATGTATTATGGAAGTTATGCACTATTCTTAGAGCAAAAAAACTTTTAGAAGATACAAGATTTATTTGTGTTGAAGAAATGCTTGCAGTGTTCCTACAAATCATCGGCCAAAATACTCGATATTGTGTAATTCGTAATACATTTGGCCAATCACAATTTTCCATTAGTGAAATTTCCACAGGATTTTGAAGGCCTTGAATTTAATAGCATCTAATTTGATCACTAAACCAGACCGGTTGTGCCCGCTAAAATAAGGGAAAACAATTTACCCTTATTTCAAGGTGTGTGATGACTACCTAATTATATTAATATTATAATTATAATTATAATTATATTTATTTGTAATAATATGGTTATCATTACATATGAATTATTTTAGGATTGCATCGGAGCTATTGATGGTACACATATTCCAGCAATGGTGATGGGACGCGATGTAAGTAGCTATCATAATCGTCATTGAAAGATATCACAAAATGTATTAGTGTCTTGTAACTTTGATTTGAAATTCATGTACGTTCTTAGCGGGTGAAAGTGTTCAGCTCATGATTCAAAGCTGCTAAATGATGCCTTATCAAGGAGAACGGACTTAAAGTGCCCCAGGGTAAGTACTTATTTTTTTAAATGATAAACATGTATATATATATATATATATATATATTCTAGTGGATTGTGGATTTCCTAATCGACGCCAACTTTTAGCTCCATTTTGAGGTGTGTCATATCATCTCCAAGATTTTACAGGTCATGGTAAAATGAAAATGAATTGTTCAATCTTCGCCATGCGTCATTAAGAAATGTGATCGAGAGGATATTTGGTATTTTCAAATCGCGATTCACAATTTTTAAGTCAGCGCCTCCATTTTCATTTAAGACACAAGCAGAGTTTGTGCTGGCATGTGTAACACTACATAACTTTCTTCGCAAAGAGTGTTGCTTTGATGAATTTCCAATTGAACCAATAAACGAATCTTCATCTTCAGTATTACCATTTAATGAAGAGGATAATTTTGAACCTATTGTTCAAACCCAAGAGCAACAACGAGAAGATGTTAATGCATGGAGGACTAGCATAGCTTTATATATGTGGAGAAATGCTACTTAAGAGGACATGAAGCTACATCAAATTAGTTATTAAAAGATTGGGAAGATTGTGTTAGTTTTTACTTTACTTTATCAAAATTATCATTTCTTTGTTATCTTTTTTATTGACTTGTAATTTGAATGTTTGAGTTTATTTATGGTTGTTGTCATTCATGGGTATGCATTGTTGTAACTTTGAATGTTGTCATTCCTATTGTCATTTTTCAAAGCAAAAGAAAGTTTGGAGTAAAAACGTATGTTATTATGAAATATATAATTAATGGGATAAGCAATTCTGGAATATAGATGTAAGCACTCAACAAGCGGCCAGACTATAATGAGGGGTAAGTTATAAGGGGTAAGTTATAAGGGGTTCACTTTATAGTCATTGGATCAATCGAAGGGCTGGGGAGAATTGGGATAAAGTTGTGCAATCGGGTAGGTGAGGAACCCAAACCCGAATTTAATATCCAGCAATGAAGTTGGTCCCAACAAAAAAAAAAAGAGAGGCAAGTTCGAAGTTTGAACAGAAAAAAACCCATTGATCTCAAACTCATAGCTGAGAGAAACTGCTAAGCTCTGAGAAACGGTTGAAGGCAACGGGCAACGACGGTTGAAGGCAACGGGCAACGACGGTTGAAGGCAAAGGTTAACGACGGTTGAACGCAACTCCACTATCTAAACCGTGAAAAAGTATTTATTTTGAGTGGAAGGAGCAAAGGCGTGGATTCTGAAACAGTGAAGACGAAGCAGTGGAAGGGGAAGGAGAGAAGCCGTATTCGTTGGAAGTGATAGGTTCCATTTGTGGAGCAAAGCCACACAAAGACCCAACACAGACACCTTGCGATTGTTCAATAACCAGCATTTGGTGAGTAATTTATGGAATTTGAGTTTAGGGTTAGAGTAACCGTTTTCCCCCAATTTGTAGCATGAATGTTGTTAGATTTGGCATCTCTTCTTTGTGCTTCACTTGCATGTTAATTTTTGCTTGGGTATATGTTAAAAAACGAATGAATATAAAGTCAATAACATGTCAATAACATGTCAATAATGATATGAATAAGGTAATGGTGTTGAATTGGAGGAGGCCCTCAAAACCTTCCACATTTGAAGCAGTGCAGAGTGCAGATTATCTCTCTGGAGCTAGAATATATATAATTTTTGAAATAAATATTATTTCCGTTGTTACTAAATTTGCCTGTTAAAAATGAGAACAGATAATAATAAACTCATGAATAAAAGTGCAAAGCATTTGAAAAAAGGTTGATCTATGACGATTATGGCTGACTGAAGAAAAAGCTAGAAAGAAAGAAGGATGTGGCAATGGCTTAGCGAGCAGATAGCAGAGCAGATGCTTTGCTTTGCTTCCTTCCACCATCTTTCTCATTTATTTATTTATTTATTTTGTGTTGTGTATGAAATGACAATAATTGTCATGTGTGTGAAGTGCAGAACTTGCCTAGATTGCACTCACACTCACTCATGCATCAACCATTGATTGGAGTTTGGATCCATAAATAAAACACATGCTAGTGCTTGTAATTCACAGAATCATTGCATTAACAGGTATTTGCACAAAATATGTCATATTGCTTTGATGATGTTAAAGCCTGTGATCAGTAATCCCTATGCGCATGTACTTTGTAAAATTTGTAATGTGCTGGTTGACTAGTTGTGTAAATACCAATGTGATTGTGCAAATACGTGGTAGTATATGTGTTCACGTTATTTCATCTTGTATTTCAGGAAATGGGATCCAACGTTGAGCTGGTATGGCCAGAGTCAGAGGCATATTCCTCACGGGTGAACAACTGCTCACATGCAAATTCATCCCTAGCTGTAATTCGAGCGAAGTTGAGTGCCGAACAATTAGAACAATTCAAGACATCATGCTTTGGCCATCTTCTGAATATAGATAAGATTCAGTTTAGCGGGCAGATTGTGCATGGGGTTGTGTTGCGTAGAGTAGCGGGGCAGGGTGTGAAAGACTTGGATGGACTGAGTTTCTTAATAGGGTGCGACGTTGCTCAGTTCACTCGTCAGGATTTCTGTTTGATCTCAGGGCTTCGTTTTGGGGAAGTGCCTGAAGTTTCCAGTGGAGAAAGTGATGAAATTAGACTTCAGAAAAGATATTTTATAGACGAAGGAATTACATGTAATGCTTTAGAAGAAGCATTTGTGAGGTGCACAGAGGAAGATGACGTCTACAAGCTAGCTCTTGTTTACTTTGCTGAGTTAGTGGTTTTGGGAAGGGACAAACATTTGAACATCAATCTAAATTACCTGACCCTTGTAGAGGACTTGGATGCGTTCAACAGGTTTCCATGGGGTTCGGTGTCGTTTGACAAAACCCAAGACAGTCTGTTTTCTGCACCAACAAAGTATGTGAAAAGCTTTGAAAATGAAGAGGGAAGAGGGAAGGGGAAATGTAAGGTAACCGGAACAAGCCGGAGAAATGAGAAGGGCAAGAAGGATAACCATGGTGAAGTGCAAAGGGGTGGCTGGAGTTTTAAAGGTTTCACGTATGCTTTCCAGGTACATGGTAATAATGTTCATGTCGTTATGTTTGTTGACTTTAAAACTTAAATAATAACTTGTGTCCTGTGAATTGTGTAGATTTGGGTATATGAATTAATTCCTAGAATGGTGGACCTGAATTACTGCAAGGTTGTTGATCCGACAGCTCTCCCGCGTATTTTGCGATGGAGAACTACTACGTCTGTTCCCGAGATGAGAAAGTTGAACAATTATTTTTTCCAGAGCAAAGAGGTTTGGTTTGCAGCCCTTGGAACTATTTATAAGATTCAATGAAATTATGAAGTAGAATGATTGCATATGACTCTTGTCTGTTTTCTGAAACAGTCAGTTCAGTTGCGGGCGCTATGTCCAAGTGAAGAGGAAATGAGACAACCATATTGGAGTTGGCCACAGGGTCGCCCTGCTGTTGTCTCGGCAGAGTCAATTCCTTCTTCATGTGCTGACCTTGATGAGTTGAACAAGGCGGTAAGCTTGTTGAGGTCCGAGTTGTTTCAAGTAAAGCGGGAAAAGGACGTCCTTGAGTTAAAGGTCATACGGATGGAAAAAAATTTGGGCCACTGTTTAGGTCCTCATTTTGAGCAGGAAGTGAGAAGGGACATAGCTTTACTGAAAGAGAGGACGAATCGTTGTGTCGTGTCACATCTATTTAAGGGATATGAGGAAGTGGATGGCATGCAATGGGATGAAGGGCCAAGTAATAGAAATGAAGGAGAGGCAAATGAAGAGGAGGACATTGAAGGGGGTGAAGGGCCAAATAACAGAAATGAGGGAGAGGACAAGGAAGAGGAGGGGATTGAAAGGGGTGAAGGGGCAAGTAAGACAAATGAGGGAGAGGAAAAGGAAGAGGAGGGGATTGAAGGGGGTGAAGTGCCAAGTAAGAGAAATGAGGGAGAGGAAAAGGAAGAGAAGGGGATTGAAGGAGGTGAAGTGCAAAGAAAACCAAGGGAGGTAGAGGAAGCTCAAAGGAAAAGAAGTGAGGGAGAGCAAGTGAAAATAAAAAGCAGCAAAGGAGAGGAAGCGCAAAGAAAGAGCATTGAGGGAGAGGAAGAACTGCAAAGAAAAAGCAGTGAGGGAGAGGATCAAAAAAAAAAAAAAAAAAAAAAAGGAAAGGAAGTGAAAAGACAGAGAAGTGAGGAAAAGGAAGTGCAAAGAAACCAATGTGAGGAAGAGGATGATGAAGTTATGTTGGTTGGCGATGACATTGGCGAGAGCACGGAGGGGACAAAGGTTGAGGTTACTCTCGGGGACATTGATTTGGATCAACCTACAGCTGTGTTATCTCAGTTGAACGTTTGGTTGAATGATGAAGGTCAAGGTGTGGAACGAGGGGTCCAATTACGGAAGAGGAAGAGGATTATTCCTATGTGGAAGATCGTTGAAGCTAGTGAAGTGGTTAAAAAAAATTTGCCAAAGACAACCGGACTTCGGACGTTAGACCCAATGAAGGCGATTCCGCATGATGATATGGTGAAATTGCTGAAACTTTGTTCGGAATGGCGCCATAACCCAAAGTAAGTCCTTTGTTTTTTGAGATAGAAGGCATGAGTGTATATATTTTTAATTGTTGTGTTCTAAAACTTTTTTATATTCATAGTTTGGTGATGCAATTTGGCAACGTGGAAGCTGAGATTGAATTCTTCGCTTCCCTCGTCAAAGCTGACGGTTGGCTGAAAGGAGATGTAAGTTTAATTGATTATGCATTTGTTTGAATGTGCATAGATTATGAGATTGACAAGGAAAACATGTGCAGCACATTGATTTGGGCTTGTATCTCATCCGGAAGCGACAACAACAGTTGGAGGAAGTAGAAATATCGGATTGGACAACGACCGATGTATTTTTTATGGTATGTGATGCAGGATGCATAGGACCTAAATTGTTTAGTTTCCTAATTGATTTGTTAGTTTCCTATATTCTTTAGTTTTCCAAATCCTAGTAGGATTTCTAAGTTAGTTTTCCAAATCCTATTAGGATTTCTAAGTTTCCTATTTTATTAGGAATAGGATTTCTGTTTTACCTGGGGATTTTAATTCTATTCTCTCTAGGTTTTAGTTTGCTATAAATACCCCTATGTAGTTCTTTACAATTCAGATTTGAATATTGATTAAACATTCCTTTAAACTCTCTGATTTCTGCCTGCCTTCTACCTTTTCTTCCCTTCAGCTTTTCTTATCTGTTATGTCTTATTGCTCTAAGTGTTTAAACTAACACACCCAGGGCTGTGCTACATCAGTATGGCATAGGCCTTGACCAAGTGCAGTTAATAATTACAAATTATCCATACTTGCTTTGTGGAGTTGTTTAACCATTGATTGTTTTCTATTTCACAGAATCACATCCATACTTGCTTTGCGGATAATAAAAGGAAAAAAGAGCAAGTTGGGTGGAAAATTAGAACCAGTTTAGTGAACGTTGTAAATGGCAAGGTTCCGGCTTGTGGATTGGATTGGCAGAACACGTATAAGGTGTATGTACCTTGTATGTTGCAAAAATATAAGCATTGGGTGGCTCTAGAGATTGATCTGATTCAGTGTGAAATCAAAGTCTACGATTCAATGGTTTCACTCATTCCAGATCAGAGCTTAAAGGAAGAACTCGGCCCCCTGTCAATTACGATTCCAAATCTTCTGCACACCCTCGACTTTTATGAAGAAGGTGTTTACGCGAACGAGTGCACCCGAGATTGGTGGTGTCCATGGCCAATACATCGTGTGGATGTTCCACAACAGGCTAATCAGTGAGCACAACTTTTTATTTAATTTTATTACTTTAATTTGTCAATTATGTTAGAATGTCATTAGTTGAATTGATCGAGTTCTTGTTTTGCTTCAGAGGCGATTGTGGTATGTTCGTGTTGAAGTACATTGAGCTGTTGAGTGCTGAGATTTCCTTAGCTACTTGCACCTCGCAGAACATGCCATTTTTTCGGTTGAAGTTGGCTGCAGAAATTGCACGGGGAGATGCTTACATGCCATGATATCGGTTGAACTTGGTTTAGGCACATGATGATGAAATAGGTTTTGGGAATGTCAAATTTCAAAGTCATGTAAATACACAATAGAGACCCATGGGTCCTTTTCGAATTCCACCTCTGCTCCTGAATTCTTCTTCGTCTTTCTCAATCTTAGTGTATTTGTGTACAGAAATTTAGATTTAAGTTACTGGACAATAACAATTAGAACCAAAATAGTGGCAAATATTATAGCGGATGCATGCTTTCATTTTGATTAGTGTGATATTACGCTATGTTTATTCTCATATTGTGCGAAATGTATATGGAGCTGGTTGCAGAGCATAGAAAAATGAAGACTCTGAAATGGAGATGCTGAGGGTTGGAGAGGAGAAAAGTAACTGGATCTGTAAATCTATTGCACGTGGGCAATCTAAATGGATAGGCAGATGCGTTTTTGAAGTTAGACACATGCCATTCCCATACATAGAATGTGCATATGGAGTGTAAAGTTTTTTTTGATGTAATGAAACAAACATCGGTGTAATATTGGCCTAACTCCTTCACGACATTTACCTAACCTCAACCAAACTGCATTGAATTGGGATTTGAAGACTGCATATGTGAATTTGGATTTGAAGAATGCATATTCACATAGGGACTGATGGCTTTTTAAGTGTATTACATCATTGCAAAGTGATATGTCATCATTTATCCAAGCCACCATTCCAAATATCAGATCCCAATCTTTAAGCCGTTCAACATGCCTTGACTTAATCGCAATGGGTTGCATCTTAATAAGGTAATTCTGTAAGGGGAATAGGCTGCTATGGCCTCGCCTCCAATATTTTATTCAACCATGCCCTCCTTATAGAAACACATGAAAAAATGTCCCCAGGTGCAATGCTCTAAAAACTCCCTATTGGTTCCGCACTGCCCCTCGGGTTTGAATCCCTCTCTCCTTTATAATCGGTTAATAAATTGGTTGATTTTCTTTATTTTATTGGTTTTGGGCAGCTGAGTAACATAACAGTAATGTATATTGGTGCGTCTATATTGCATGTCTGTTGGGTCTATATTGCTTGTCTATTGCGTGCATATCTTTACATTTATTGCGTCTGTATTGATTTGTATTGCTTACGACGGAAATAAATAACAATACACAGGCAACAGACAAGCAATATACACGCAATAGATATGAAATATACACGCAATAGACATGCAATATACATCAGTCCCCAATTACATCAACCATAAGGAAGTCGTATTGAATAGGAAATTCTACTTAAGTTGTTCTTCCTACGAAAACAAAGAATAAGGACCGTTTCCCCCCTTAAATCTAACTGGAGTCCTACTTTTGCCCCCAATAAACATGCAATATTGGAGCAATAACATGCGATATACATGCAGTAAACACTCAATCAACTTTCAATAAACCTTCAATATCGGTTCAATAACATGTGAAATACATGCAGTTAACAATCATGAAACCTTCACGAAACATGTAAACAATCAATAAACCTTCAATAAACACTCAATATCGGAGTAATAACATGCGAAATACATGCAGTTAATGAACCTTCAATAAACAGTCAATATCATGCGATTTACATGCAGTAAACAATCAATAAACAATCTATATACACTGAATAATTATGCAATCTTAAAAAAAAGGTATTGTCTTATTATTGCATCGTATTGGCCCTGTATTGTCATTTTATCGTCTTCGTATGACTTTATTTTTGTAAAGTAAGTCTAGGAAAGTTTTTACTGGGTTTCTGACAAGTAAATGCTTTTGTTTCAAACAATAATTTAAACTCAATGCTAATCCACCTATTTCAATAACAAAAATTACAAATTGGGTTTGAAAAGTCATTGGTGGTGCGTGCAACATGTGTTTTTGGGGAGAACTTTTACAATCCTTGAAACCGTGCACTTAATTGGTCATTAAAAGAACAAATAATATGACAATTGATACAACTAATAAAACTAATACCAAGTCCTTAATGGACTTCAGCATATTAAGCACTGTAGCATCATACGTGTCAGCTTGCTGATCTGCTTCAGCGGAGGTTACATCAACCCATTCGAATCCATTGCAACTGGTGGCTCCCTAATTGCAGGCATCATATATGCAAAATAATTCTGTCAGAGTTAGACCTAGGATTTTTTTTCACCCACATACATATTCTGGAAATGAGAACTTACATAGGAGGTTAGACACTTCCAAAATGGCTTCCCTCGATTTTTATCTGATTTTGAAACCCGAAGCACCATTGCAGCTCCACAATACTGACACCTCTTTGTTTGAGCGGGAGATGAAGACGAAGACATGTTGAATCTTATCACTTGTACCTCTTCTCACTCAGATCTTCTCACTAAAACCTCTTCGGACTCATACCTTCTCAGTTATACCCCTTCACTCATAAGTCATAACCCTAAACTTCTCACTCAGCTCTCTCTCATCTCTGCCCAAATCGAATTATATCCTTCTTTTCTGTGTGTGGGTGGGTTGGTCACGATCTGGACACCTGTACCGTCAGAATTGTGACACATTTTACTCCGATAAGCGATATACTATTTCACAAACAATAATTAATCTTACAATTGAGGGGACACTGCTTTAAATATATTATTTTCTTTATATTTCATTAAGGCAACTAGTTGGATAAGAATCCGTCATTTAATAGGGGTAGTGTGGTGTGGGAAAATGAAAAAGTATCTGATGGGACCTTCTGTCACTAGTCAGTAATCCATCACATTTGTATCAATGAATTTAATGGCGGGAAAAGCCTAACAATGGCTATGGAAATAGGTTATTAATTGACTTTTGGACGGTCTGACTCCCTTTGCATTTTGATGACGTTTTCCCTTCGCCTGTCTTATGTTTTGGGTGTTGAGTTCAGTTTCTTTAAAAAGGGTCAACTTGGTAAAACCCCAAGGAAACACCTTTTCAGAACAGTGCAACCAGAGGCTAAAACAAACCCAAAACCCCGTATATTCTCATTTCTCCCCTCTTGCAGTCCTCAAATCGTTCCATTCCAAAAATATTTCAATGAATTCCAAACATTACACTACAGTCGGAGGAAAGAGAAGGAAGCATCTCGATCCGGATGTGCCTCAAGCCTTCATCCCGGAATTAGCTTGGTTTAAAGTGATGTTATACGTGGCAACCAACTCCTCGGAAGATCTCTTTCGTATGGCATGTGTGTGCCGATTGTTCAATACGTTGGCAAACACTCCACAAGTGTGGAACACAATTTCAATGGAAAAGTACCAAGACCATCCTAACTGGTACTATGCCGCAACGCAGGTCCGGCATTTCGTGGACCAATGCAGGGCTTGCCAGAACCCTGAGGCGATATTTAGAGAAGCGTTCGACATGTTTTTCAGGCAGGGTAATGTGGAAGCATTGTCTGGGATGCGCGTTGCAGCCACGGCAGGCCATATGGAAGCGTCATATCTAGTTGGACTACTTGGCATGTCCGGAATTGGTCAGTCAAAAGAGGATGCATTAGAATTCTTGTGTTCTTTGAATCAACGTAACAACATTGATATGAAAGGAACCAGGGATGCTTTGAGACGACGATTAAGCGGAATTTTCTCTGTTGGAAGACATATCGTAGATATGTTTCACTATGGGAAGATTAAGTTCAATCAGTGCAGCGCTTGTAACAACAACGACTGGTGTTTTGTTATTCCAGGCTGGCCTAGTGAAGAAAAGATCAATCCTGCCTTCTGGACTTGTTGCAATCGATGCAAATGGCACCGTGAGAGTGTTTTTTGGTTCAAGGTGATGCGTGTCTATGTTGTGCCAGGGAATCCATACCCTTATAATTAGTTGGAGTATGTTTCTACGGTTTTTATGCGTGTCTATGTTCTACAAATGTTGTTTTCTATTTCATGTTTTAATCTATTTTGTCTGGTGTTTGTGCTGTCCTAGCCCGTTTTATATATAAATGTATAATATTTGCTATATAGTGGAATTATTACTGACATAATTGACGGCTAAGAATGACATTTTACTGACACAGATATTTTGCACAACTGCAATCTTAATATTTGGTAAACGAAAACGCATGCATGAAGTGAGTATGTGTCTTTTCACCGGTTCTTGGGAATGACATTTTCCCACTTAGCATATCCCAAATGATTGGGTTACACGTTTCTTAAGCAAAACTTGAACAGTGAAAGACTTTGAATAATTATTTCCTGATGTTGTAGAATGGATGGCTTGTATATTTCCATTTTATGTTTGAAAACATCCCTTACACCTAAAAAAGAAAAAACATTAACAAATTGAAGAAGAGAGAAACTGATTAGCACCAGAAATGGTCTATTCACACGGAAAATAAAAATAAAATTAAAAATTTGGAGTAAATATAATTAACAAATGTACAAGCTAACAAGTAATATAACAATAATAATAAAAATAATTTTGGATAAATAATAATAAAATACTAATGTAGCGTAACCATGAAACAGGGAATTCAGGAGGAAGATGAAGTGTCAATGAGGTCGTAGCAATTTTCGGAACATTATTGTGATTTTTGTGTATTTAGTTATGAATTTTCTAAGAAAAAGTCATAAAATAATAATTTAGGGTAAAAGGTAAGGATGTGGCCATGTTGACTGACGCACACTTGTCAAGGGGTGAAAGGTGAGGGGCTGAGATCGCGCCAGGTGTCCATGTGGCAATTATTTTGGCTTTTTTAGTGCAAAAATCTTTGAAAAAATGCAATAAATAGTAGAAAAATCCTAAAAATGCCCCGAAAAATACTCCGGCCTCCGTGTGACGTTATAAAACGAGGGGAACCCATAGATCATCCATTTCGCAATTAAAAATTCAAAAATGATTTACATAACTCACTTTCCTCTTAACCCTAAGTATATATGTTGTTCACTTTAACTTCAATAACCTACTTCAACAAGCATCTCCCGTTAATGTTCGGAATTGTTTTTTAAAATGCGTAACCACTAATCGGGGAATTCAGCAAGGGAGATGGAGTGTCAATGAGGTCGTAGCA